GCCCAGTGGGCTTCCCCTCTTTCACTCAACCTGGTCAACTGTCTTGTGCTTAATTAAGGTAGGTCTTTCCTCCTCAGCTCAGCTCCTCTGATGGCACCCTCACCAATCCACCCAGACCTGTGTTTCTAGATGTTTCTAAAGTCTCGTCGAGTTGAGCGTCACACCTGCGTTTGCAGATTCGCAGCAGGGCAGACGTGTGGAAAAGCTTTGTAGGAGAGGAAAAACTTTGGGTTTACTGTGGTTGAGGGCTCTTGGCACAGGGAGGTCAGAGAGAGGATAACTAGAAGTGAGACATCCTATTTATCCTTTTCTAGTTGTTTCTGAGCTGGGAAGGGGGAAAAAAACTCAGTGACCATGCTCTGCCATCTGGTGACACCAGTGGACTTGATGGTTTGGCTTTCTGGCCTGGCTGATGCAGAACATGCAGGTCAAAGTCTGCATGGCTACCAGTTTGCACGTTGTCTGGCTACCAGTCACTGGAATATCCAGACTCTGATACTGACTGCTGAGAAGACAGGGTACAACCAGAACTTTACCCCACACATTAATGGCTCAGTGCTGTGTGGTTGTACTGTGTTGAAAATCCTGAAAGATATCAGGATCGAGCACTAGGGAGTTGGGAACGAAGTCACTGTGAAACAGAACACCTCTTGATAATGTGGTATCATCTCAGAGAGTGGGCAGTTACTTGTTCAGGAGGGACTTCAGACCTATGCTGGGGGATGTCTTTGCAGTGGTTTTGAAAAATATAGAAATACAAACTGCAGGGATCGCTTGACACTTTGTTACCAAAGGTCTACTGGATCTGACTAGTGCTGTGTGTGACAGACAACTCTCTTAAGAACTATTTGTGGAAGGAATGCACATGTTGGACCAATAGGTGAGTTAGATGACCTGTGTGTGTAACTTCTTCCATCCTGCGAGTCTTGTATCCTAACTTATTAACTATAATCATAGCCAGGAAACAAGCCACTCGTTTATTATTTCAACAATGTCAATGGGCTAGATTCCTTTATTCCACACTCTCTGTTAGACCAGTATTTGAATTCCGCTAACTTGTTGTATTCCTATATACCAAAGAAGCGTCAAGGAAAAGAGCTCCTTTGCCACTGCAGAGGTGTATCTAGTACTTGCAATTCACCATGTCCTGGAGCACTTCCCACACGAGGGAGCACTTGCCACATGGTGGAGCACTTTCTCAGCCTATATAACAGAAGAAATAAAATAAAGCTTATTTACACCAAAGAGCATGCAAGTAGTTATGAAAAAGCGGCGTGAAAATGAAAGGCCAGGGATCTATGCTTCTCAGCATCAGCACTCCAGGTAAAAGTTAGCCAGGCTGTCTGTGGAAGAACTAGCATACTTCCTTCCCTTGGGTTTAAGGGTTAAATAAAAATTGAAAGAGTCTTTGGGTCTTAGTCCAGGAGTCCATGAGAAGGCTTTGTGCTTAGCCCCTCCCCGATGTGAGGCCTGGTGGGTGTCCTTCTGCATAAACTAGAGAGACAGCATCTCTCAGGTCCAGTGTGGTTCTGGAAACACAGGATGGGGTAGGTGTTGCTGTGGTTAGTACCACAGATTTTAAGCCAATTCTTGTCTAAAGGGCCTGTTTTCACTTCGTGGTACGAGGACCACACAAAAGGGAAGCCGAGGCCTGTGTCTGATGCTTCTACAGATGAGCTATGTGACCGTGGACCTGACTGACCTCCCAATGTGTCTCTGTCACACCTCCTAGACTTATGACAGACATCTGTGTGTGTCTATTTTCACCTGTTGGATCCCTAAGCACTTAGCATTTGTTCAGAATTACCATATCCACAAAAATTAGCATATTCTAAAAAGATGATGTTCTTGTTAGATTTGGTCTGGTTTCAGTTTTGGTTTTTGGGGGAGTTTGTGAGTGTGTGTGTGTATGTTTGGCTTTTTGTTTTGTTTGTTTGTTTTTTGTTTCTTGGTTTTTTTTATAAGTGTCTGAAACTCACTATATAGTCGACTGGCTGCCTGAGCAATCCTTTTGGCTCTGCTCCCTGAGTGCTGGGATTACAGGAGGGTAACAGTATTTTTTATATAAGTATAACTGTACCGTGCTTAGCTAGTCTTATGTCAATGTAACACAAGCATCTGAAAGGAGAGAACCTGGATTGAGAAATACCTCCATAAGATCTGGCTGTAGGGCATTTTCTTAATTAGTGATGGATAGTGAGGGCCCAGCCCTTGAGGATGGGGCCATCCCTGGTCTGGTGATCCTGGGTTCTATAAGAAAGCAAGCCATGAGAAGCAAGCAGGTAAGCAGTGTCCCTCCATGGCCTCCGCATCAGCCTCCGCAGGATCCTGCCCTGCTTGAGTTCCTGTCCTGACTTCCTTCACGACAGTGTGGAAGTATAAGACAAATAAACCCTTTCCTCCCCAGCCTGCTTTTTAGTCATGGTGTTTCATCTCAGGTACAGAAAGCCTGACTGAGACAGGTAGTATTGTCTCTGAAATTACCTCTTTTACTTACGGGATTAGCCTGCAGCTTTGAGGTTTGCTTCTATTGAAACAGTTGAGCCATTGGAGGAAGGACAATGGGGATTCAGGGACCCTTCCTCCCCCATCTTCGTTGTCTGAGGCTATCTTACTTTTCTACATTCTCCAGAGCTTCTCCTTGTGAAGCAGAGCTTCAGGAACTGATGGAACAAATTGACATCATGGTGAGCAACAAGAAGTTGGACTGGGAAAGAAAGATGCGGGCTTTAGAGACACGATTAGACCTTCGGGATCAAGAGTTGGCCAACGCACAAACTTGCTTGGACCAGAAAGGCCAGGAGGTACTGAGGACGCATGCCAGCAAAGTGTTCGTGCACCAAACTCATTTGTCGCTTACAATTCTGTCAGTAAATTTTGTGTTAAATGTATGTTGTTGAATAGATTCAGGGGCTAAATCAGGTATTTGCTAATGGAGACACTCACGACATCAATGCTGCCAGTAAACGTAACAGACATTTAAGGTACCTGGGAAGCAAGCGTGTTTGGAAACAAAAGTAAAAATGCTTCGGCTCCTACAGAAGCCCTGCCATGGAGACCAAACCTGTCTTTGTTCAGCAGAGCCCGGGAGTATTTGCTGCTTCTGATCTGCTGGAAAATGCTTTGTGAACAAGCATGCCAAGGGCTAATTGCCAAAGGAGAGTGCATTTGATGAAAGTGTGTGTGTGTGTGTGTGTGTGCATGAGTGTGGGGAGGTATGGGTGGGTGTGTTCTCATATGGGTGTGTGCAGGTGTGTGTGTGTTCTCATGTGTGCATGGGTGCGTGGGTGTGTGCGTGGGCATGTGTGTGCCTGTGGGGGGTGTGCTGGTATGCACCTGGAGTGCCCTCTTAGAATGGCTTCCCTCCACTCCCGTGGCCGCTCACTGCTGAGCTGGTGCTCATAAGAGAATGGGAAAAACATACGCAGACCTACATGGCTGGGCTCTTTCGGGAGTCAGGAACCATACGCCATCACAGAAGTTCTCACCAGCCACTTTCCAGCTCTGTGGACTTCTGGATGGTTTGGGTTTTGGCAAAGCTGAGGGAGGTTGATGTTTCTCGGGTGGGGGTGGCTGTGGTTTCCCTTGGCAGGAAAGGCAGGTCCACTGGTCCTGGCATATGCACATAAGTAAGTAGGTGTCTCATCTGCATTTAAACAGAGTAGTTCAATCCCTTAACAAGTGCCCTTGAGCATTTTTATTTTCTCATTGATATGTTAGTTCTTATAAAACGCAACAATTACCCCTAGACCACCAGACTGGTAAGGGATGGAACCTGACCGAAAGAAAATCTCTGAGTTACAGTAGCAGAAGTTCTACATGAGCGACAGTGGCACAGCCTCCCAAGCAGGTCATACAGTGTGAGTTCTAAATCTTAATTTAAAATGCAGCAGTGACAGGGATCTCTTGCCAAACGCATCCCATGCTATCCTAGTACACAGCCAGTGGACCGGGCTGGAGACGTTTGCTTTCTGTGAATTCCGTTATTAGTGGCTATTTTAAGAACTGCAGGACAAACGTTTACTCGTGACTCAGTACAGCAGTCTAACTTGGATTGCTTCTTCTTTGCACATTTTCCGATTTTTTAAGGTAAAATTCAGAAAAAAATCTAAAGTTTGTTTTTAATGCAGGTGGGGTTACTTCGACAGAAGTTGGACAGTCTGGAGAAATGTAATTTAGTGATGACTCAGAACTACGAGGGACAGCTACAGGCCCTGAAAGCCCAAGTAAGGGAACCTGTTAAGAGTAACACGGCATACTGTGACACATGCTTTCACCTATAAAATGTTCATCTTTGAAATGTTTGCATGTAGGCAAATGTCCTTGTGTCTTCCTTGCATGCTTGTGTCTGGCCGTCACGGTCTTCTGTGTCCTGATTGTCACTCCTACGAGGCTGTCAACTCAGATGCCATCTGCACGGCCTTCCCTGTGACAGGGCACTAGACAAATAACTTTTCTGTCTCTCCAGAGGCAATTTTTTTAATGATTACTATTAGGTATGAGAACAAACACTGAAATTCCCTTCTGTGGTTGTCTCTGGGGTTTCCACAGCAGCCTAAAATACGGATGCTTGATGCTAGGGCCACGTAGCTGGAAGAAGGGCGCTGGCCTCACACCGACGGCTGCTCATGGTCAGCAGCAGCGCCTCTGCATGCGCGGTGAGGGGCACCAATGTCTTTGTCACCCATCACTGCGGCTCTCCACTAGGCTTGCCTCAAAGTCTTGTCTCCTAGCAAAGATGTCTCACAGGGCAGGAGTGACCTCAGCATCACAGCCCCAGCAGCCGCTGGGGTCCTTAGCCTAGAAAAGGACAGTGAGGGGCAGTAAAAGGGCACAGACCTCTGAGGGGCATGGGGCTTCACAACAAACCATTTAAATCCCCGTCATTAAAACCACAGGAGGAAAGGAAAGGATGTCTAGAATGCCCCAAAAATTGACCAAAGTGTCACCAAGCCGAGTGAACCCCAAACAGGATAAACCCAAGGAATTATATAACAGACAAAAATCAATGAACGACCTCAGAAGCATGTGAAAGGAACAAGCCTTAGCGAAGGGGAAAGCAGTCTGGACGGCAGCGACCTCTCGTGGGAGGAGCCAGAGGGGTCACAAGGGCAGAACAGTCGACGCTGGGACTCTGTCCCAAAGAACACACCCTTAGGAGTGACAGGGAAACCAAGGCATGACCAGTGCATCTGTTAACAGTAGCATCACCCAACACAGTGGCCACCAGAGATTCCTCACAGGACCAGGAAAGCACTGGTTTAAAATCCTTCTGCTCTTGAGTTTTGCTAATTGTTTGATTTTTAAAAAATCCCTAATATAGTTTCTAGTGTATGTATCAAAAATATGTGATATTTTTGTTTATAATCGAATCAGGATGAAAAGGAAATAAGCATTCCACCTTTGTACTGGGGAAGTGCCAGGCACCTGCAGACCACAGCAAGCTGTGTGCATATAATCTGATGTTTGAAGGAACGGCTGGGAAAGATGTAAAGAGAGACACTCAAAACTGTCTTCAACTCAGTGCAGCCTTAAAAATACCCCTGTGGGCCACGGGAAGACAAGAAAGTGAAACCAAGTCACAAGCTAGAGGAAGCCAGAAAACAAAACACAAGAAGCCAAGCCTCAATGGAGCATAGCCATAATTACATTAAAGAAAAATGGCCTAACCACACAAATTAAAGTGTGCCAGATACGTAAAAACAGGGCCCCGCTCAATGGGCTGTTCAAGGAATTCCCTTCAAATACGATTCCACAGGGAGGCTGAGAGTAAAAAGAAAGACAAAACAGTAGCATGTTATGTTTAAGAAACTAAGCTGACGTGCTGCCGAGATGATTCAGTAGCAGAGATTAGCTTTTTAGCAAGCGCGGAGACTGCTCAAGAACGCACCCGGAGACGCAGGGGAGATGGACCTGAGCCTGCCAGCAACGGCTTAGCTAGCTCTGTAGCTTTTTCAGCACAGAAGTGTCAGTGGAAACCGTGAGCAGACACTGAAACCTCCTCAGACGCTTCGATACGATGCTATAGACATACATGAAAGTATGAGCCACGGTTACATCAACTGATTTGTTGAGATTAAAGCTGTCAACACAAGATGGCATTAAGAAAAAGTAAGGAAAATCTGTGGGCTTTTTTTCCGTTAGCTTTGCTGCCTACATACACTAAAAACAAAACTGAACAAAACGTTTACCAAGTGAGTCATCGACTCACACTGCACTGTTAACGGGGGCCCAGATTTACATACACAGAAGTAGAACCCTGTTCAGCCTCAGTAACTGAGTTTTAACAGCGGGTTCCATCCTCGCTAATAGGGACATTTAGGTTGTATTGCACTTCCTAATCGTGACTTACCTTTTCCAAGAGCTGCGCGACAAATACTGGGGAGGCCAGCGGTGAGTAACAGCTACTATTTCCTATCATTTGCAGTTTTCTAAGCTAACCAATAACTTTGAGAAACTGAGATTACACCAGATGAAGCAAAGCCAAGTTCACCGAAAGGAAGCCCCCAGCAAAGAAGAAACACCCTTTGAGCTGAACAGTCTGAACCAGAAGCTGGAGGTGAGCAGGCGTTCCCGGTCCCTGGGTTCTGAAGACAGTTTGCTGTGGATGTGGGCTCCATCTCCAGGCACAGAGCACCCAGGATGGCCTCTCAGTGCACCTCAGCTTCAGGCACTTAGTAAATTCAAAAATATCTGTGATTTATAATGCATACATACGTACGTACGTACACACACATTGGGAGAGCTAAAAAAATAAATAAAGGAACAAAGACTCCACAGCTGTTGAGTGAAATTGAGGGGCATCCTAGGGTCAGTTAAATTGAATACCTAATAAATCTTTTAATGCCCATGTAACTATTAGGTACTAAATCTCTGTGAGCCTCAAAACTGTTTTCAGAACAGGGACTGAAGTCTCACTTTTGGGGGGTTTTTTTTTTTGCTTTGTTTTGTTTAAAAGCCTAATTCCACTCCATTTAAGTTGTCCCACGTCACTGAGAACTTCTAAAATCCATCTCTGAAAAGATTCAGTATACTGCCAAGACCTTTATTCCCACCCTTCTAATGGTATAGCTTTGGAAACTACAAAACAGCGATCTCTCTTCGTGTGTTCTTGAGAACCCTTGCAGAAAAACTGAAGGGATGGCGTCTCCGTGAGCCCCTGACATCCAGCACGGCTGGGCTCCAGCACGGCTTGGGGGTCACGTTCTCCTCCTAACCTTTGTGTTACCCTATTCAGTTTCTTTCATTCTCCTCAGGTCCTAAGCCGAGCGACCCATCCCCAGCCAACAGTCTCATTTTCTCCTACTCATGAGATCAGGACGATCCTGCGTCTCCCAGTGACCAAGGTCAGAGACAGTTTAGGGATCTTTGGCCTTTCTCGTCCTTGTCATTCCCACCCCTGGACCCGTCCTTGACCTTCCTTCTGTCTCCTTGTCTTCACGCACCACTACCTTGCTCAGTTTTCTTACGCATGCTCCAAATTTTTTGTAAAAGCAGAGAGAATCGCAGTTGGAGATCACAGCCATGGAGCTAGCCAGCCATGGCAGAAGGCCTGGGGCTTACCTCAAAAGCCCCACTGACTCTACCCTTGCTCCCTGAGATAGAGGCGGTCAGACATAAAGCCATTGTCACCTAGTGAATGGTTCTCAAGAAAATCCCTGTCTTGTTCCCAGCCTCTCACCGGGTGTGGCTGGCCTCTCGAGGGGTATTCAAACACAGGCTCTGGAGAACTTAGCTCTTTCTTGACATGAAAGTCAGAACACCCTGTGGTAACACCCATTACCCATTTGGTTGGTTCTTGGTGGGCTTCTGGAGGGAACCACATTCATATACATATTTCTGACAACACACTTCCTCATGAGTATGTTTACACTGAGGCAAGAGTTTTATGTAGACACGGTATAACTTGAATGATTATAAAGCATCCAACATAGTTGTTTTCCTTACAGCCATCTGGAAAGAGCTCAGAGGAGATGGCTGTTCTTGTTTTTGGACATGTAACATGTTCTCCTTTAGGACAAGCACATTCAATGCTATAGTAATCTCAATCGGGACAGTGTGTGTGTGTGTGTGTGTGTGTGTGTGTGTGTGTGTGTGTGTGTGTGTGTGGTGGGAAACATCACCGCTTATAACACGGATCATCACCCACCATACTCACTGATCACTCTGTGACATTTAGACCATGTTAGCCTCAGGAAGTTTCATCAATCATCATTGATTAGTAAATTAGGCTGATGTCCTGGGGGATAGTTCTGTCAGTAAAGTGCCTGTCTCACAAGCACAAGGACCCAAGTTCAAGGCCAAGACTAAGCTTAGACACTGGCCATGGTGGTGCACACCTGTGATCCCCACACTAAGCAGCCTGAGAGAGGTGGATCCCTGGGCACACTGGCCGGCCAGCCTAGCATAGTCACTAAGTTCTAGGCCAAGTGAGATACACAGTCAAAAACCAAAGTGGACACCTTCCAGGAATGACATCTGAGGCTGCCCTTTGGCCTCCAAATGTGTGCACATGCACACACACACACACACACATACTTTTATATTTAGACACATGCTGACACATTTAGGGATGAAAATGCATGAGCTCAGAAAGTTCCTTTAAAATACTTGCACAAGAGTGAGAAGTAAGACATGCTGTTAGTGACAGTTAATCTGGGTAAAGATTAGGTTAGGCTTACTCTCCACTTTTATGTGAATATGAAAAAAATTCCTAATAAAAAGTTAAGATCATTGTGTGATTTGTAGAGTCACGGACACATCACCCAACACTGTTTCTCGGGGTTCAGAAGAAGGGCCCTTTTAAGATAACAACCACCACCAAAACCAATACCCCAGTTATCACCAGAAATACTCATTTTAATGATCGTGACCCACTCAACCTAAACGACTCAGAGAAGGCTTTGTAGTCTTCAGAATGTGCCCTGGAGGACTAGGGGACTCCCCTGGGCTGACCTTCAAGAAGTCCCACATTCCTGAATACAGCCTGCTGGCTGCCTAACCTTGAAAGCCATACCTCTGGTTAATGGAGGAATCTGGACTGTTATCAGTACCACTAATATGTCTGTGACTCTGTCTAGCCATCCTAGACCTCATCGATGCCTGGTTTAGCCCTGATGATCTAAGGTTAATGCTACTGCCTCCTCCTAAAGCTTTCTGGGGAATATTTAAGGTTATTTGTGGATGTTAAGTAGATGATGTTAAGTATATTTATTATCTAAAAGATAATAAATTTTCTAAACTAGGCAGGTGGGTTATACCTCTAATTTCAGCCCTTGGGAAGTGAAGGCAGAAGGATCTTGAGTTCAAGGCCAGCTTGGGCTGAACAGTGAGACCCTTTATGAAACATTAAAAAAAGGAAAACATGTTTACTGTTTAAGCCAATCTTATTCCATTTTTTTGCTATTTTTCCTCAAAGAGTTCTTTATAATTAAAAATATTTTTAATTAATTCCTAAAGTTAGCATACAAAATGATGGGTTTCCTCATGGCATCATCATAAGTATGAAAATCAAATTCTTGAAATCCAACGTGTACTGATTTTTAAATGTTACCCATCCTCTATTTGGAACCTAATTTTATAAATGTGTAACTATTACTGAAGACTCATTCTTAATTTTTACATCATTGACTGTCAGAATCAGTCCATAAATGGACTGTCCCCACTACCCTAATAAATAGAGTTTGTCATAAGGAAGACATAGACGTCGAAGTGTGTGCCTACATTTCCCAGGAGTATTCCCTCCACCTGATTTCAGATTGCCTTAAATTGCTATAAAGTCTTCCTCACTTACAGACCTCTTTCACTGATTAGGACTTGCATATTAAAAAATTTAAATTTCCCAAATATTCTTCAGGATCATTTCTGTGTAGGAAATACGAAAAGCGCTGTTTTTCTCATTCTAAGAAAGACAGTTTGCATTCTCAGCTTCAACAAGTTTCCTGTGCAGCATAGCCAAGTCGGCCCCAGCAGCCATTTTCAAAACACTCCAGCCAAACGCACCTTGTTCCAACTTGACATAACAGGAAAACCATCCCCGTGGCTCTTATGTGACACTTTTATTGCACGTGTGTACTGTAAGTGGCTTGTTTGGATGTGCACGCTGCTCCTTTACTGTGTATTCCTTTAAAAGTGGGACAGGGGGTTAGTAATGGAATAGTTCCAAACCGGGAGATGTCAGCAGAGCCTGGAGCATGCAGGCCTCCACGCTTCCAAAGCCTGGGCAGAAAGGCTGCAGCAACCAGCCCAGCCAGAAGTGAGATGCAGAGATGTCTCTGGCACCTCCAAAGCCAAGTCCGTGGCTCCCAGGGTTGCGTTGTACCTTCAGGCCCTACACCACATTACTTGAGTGGGCACTTGTGCAGCTAAGCATGCTGTATCCAGCTAGCCCCATGTTTTCTTCCCCAACTGACACATGGGAATAAATTACAAGATGCGATGTGCTCTCCGTTCCCCAAGTGAGCTGATTTTAGCTTCACCCTATACACAATGGCTTTGAAAGCCGGAGGCCGATACAGCCAACATTGGCTTGGGCTGCTTCAGAAGAGTGCAGAGCCTGGGTAGCTTAGACAGAGGCCAACGGTAAGATTCTGATGAGGGCCTTCTCTTGGCTCAACGGTTGTCTGCTGGGTGGACAGCAGAAAAGAGGGCGTGTGGGGAGAAATGCTTGTCTTTTGTTGGGGGATGGGTACATGTGCTCATGGGAATGTGTGCATGTGTGGAAGCCAGGAAGCCAGGAGTCAGCTTCAGGGACTTTCCCATCTCTTTGTATTTGGCTTTTCTGAAATAGGATCTCTCACCAAGACCCTGTTAGGATGGCTGCGCCCCAATCCTCCTACCTCTGCCTGCCCAGCACTGGGATTACAGATGGGCGCTGATGCACCATCCGGGATTTTTATACAATGGGTGGGGATTGAACTCAGACCCTTAGACTTGCACAATGAATGCTATACGAGCTGAGCTGTCTCCCAGACCCTGGCTGGCTGCCTGCCTGCCTGCCTGCCTTTCTTTCTTCTTCCTTCCTTTCTTCCTTCTTCCTTCCTTCCTTCCTTCCTTTCTTTCTTTCATTCTTTCTTTCTTCTTAATGTGTAACCCTGACTTGTAGGAGTGAACCCCACAAAGCTATCCACCCATGAGGGCGGAGACATGTAAACTAACACAGGTAGATATAAAAGGAAGTGAAAGAAGAAGGAACCTCCCTTTTTCTTCTAGAAGCCAGCCAGGCTTCTAACTCCTGGTCTGTGCGACTCTCTCTCTCTCTCTCTCTCTCTCTCTCTCTCTCTCTCTCTCTCTCTCTCTCTCTCTCTGGTAAATAAATATATTGTTTTCCATATATAGCATCGAATATCGTTATACTGACTGTCCTGGAATTTGCTCTCTAGAGTAAGCTGACCTCAAACTAATAGATCTGCCTGCCTCTGTTCTGGGATTAAAGACGTGTACCACCGTGGCTGGCCTGATCCCTATATTTCTTAATCTTAACTCAATAACCTCCTGGAGGCCCAACTTTCAATTTCATGACAGTGAGCCCTAGGTTTCAGCATACGTAGTTAAGAGGCACAAACACTGAGCTCATAGAGCTTGATAAAGAGGCATCTTTTTAAAGAATTATTTTAATGGGGGGGGTATATGCACGTGAATGCTGATGCCTGCTGAGGCCAGAGGCGGCAGATCCCCTGGAGCTGCAGAGTCCTCTGCAAGAGCAGTTCGGGCTCTTGGTCTTTGAGCATCTCTCCAGTTCATCCCTTCAGCAAATGCCCAGGGACTAGAGAACGAGAAAGGGAGAAGCAACTGAGGGAGGGACAGGAGGTGCCAGCTGATGCCGGAGGCTGTTCGACTCTCCCTTTGCCAAGGAGAGATCTATGCTTTCAGTATGTTTAATATTTCTTTGTATGTTAAAAAATCTATAATTTCCTCAAAAAACTGGAATACACAGGCCAAGCACACCTATGCCCCAGAATCCCATGCCTTTTGAGTGATGAGTCAATGCCACAAGCAATATGGATGGCCACAGCAAGGGTATATCAAACATCACTCATAACGTCACCTGTTGGCAGAGTGCACCCAGGGCGTGGGAAACAGATGAGTGTGTGTTTAGACTTGGACGGCATCACCAAGGCATCTCACTACGGATATGCAAATAAACCCCAAATCTGAAATGAAACTCCCCTGTCCAAGTGGTTCAGATGTAGGACACAGAGCCTGTAATAATCAATTAATGTGTAATTCCATCATTTTCTTGTTTACTTTCCTAGTAGGTAAAGAATAGACTTATTTTTTTTCTCATAATGAAGACACACAAAGGGAAGAAGCTCTGCTCATTGTACTTTTAGTGAATAATAATTTTGTTTCTCTCCCCTGCCCTGTTCTAAAAGGAGTTCAGAACAAAGTCAAGGGAATGGGACAAACAGGAGATCCTCTATCAGACTCACCTGGTATCTTTGGATGCTCAACAGAAATTACTATCTGAAAAATGTAATCAGTTTCAGGTAAATGAGATTTTACTATTATTATTGTTGTTGTTAAATTGCATCGTCTAAATTGGAAAACACAATTAGAGGTTAACTACTGTCATCCTTGCATTCAGTGAAGAATCTACCTACTCATGGAAGTGAGAACTGAGGGTTAGCAGCCATCTTGGATCTAGTGACAGCACAGTCATGTGCATGAGTGCTTTGTGACCCTGATTTTAGCCTCTGTGTCTCAATGTCTGGTGTCGTTATATCTCTAGACAACACATGCTTTCAGGCAGTTTGGACAAGCACCTATAATCCTGTGTAAGCATTACAGCTCAGATGGAAAGGTATCCTGGCAGCCGGAAACCAAAAAATACCACAAAAGTCGCACACACACACACACACACACACACACACACACACACACCAAACCTCAGAGATTTATTGGGAGGGAAAAAACAGGAGATTGGCTACCTCTGCTCGGGTGAGAAGCAGCAGCAAGCTGAACAGGACACAGGGCTTATATAGAGTTTCTTGGGAACTTTCCATGGTGGAGATTGAGATTTCATGTCCAGAGATTGGGCTTTTTTTTCACTCTGTAGGGTGGGGTCAGGGCTCAGCAGTTAGGACAGTGAGAGTGTTCTGTGGGTGGAAGCTGGCAGTTAGAAGTAGTCCTTGGGGGAGGGACCTGGGTGGTTCAACGGGCTTACACCCCGCACTTGGGGAGCCAAAGGCAGGAGAGGAAGGTCATGAGTTTGATGCAAGCATTGTATAATAGGACTCTGACAAAGACAAACAACAAACAAAAAAGCAAAGTTTATGTCTGTGTGGTTTTTCTGGCATGTCCTTAGCGGCCGGCAAGGCTGAGCGCGTCCTCCTGAATTTCTCTTCCTCCTCTCCCATGGCTCCCCCACGCTCTGCACATTGGGTTTGTGTCACTTGCTTTCCCTATCAAAATGAAGAGGTTTTACACATTAGGGATTACCAAAAGTAGTGATGTGTTAGCACCTGGTTTTTCCCCTCAATCTGTTTCTGGTTTTTATTTCTTTACCATAGAGACATCTTCAACTGTTATGTAATTGAATTAATGTTTTTCTCTTATTATAGCTTCTAGATTCTTTGTTGATTAATAAGACCTCTCCTCCTCCAGACCCCTTCCCTGCTCTAAACTTGTGCAAATACACGTTCCTTCACATCATCTGAAACTGAGGTTACAAACATGCGTAACTCTGTACAGTATAGGCCAAGCTTAATACTAAAAGATATCTTTACTAATTCTCTTACTTCTTTGCCTGTATGGAAGTCTAAATAAATCGCTTAATTTACGGGATTATCATATTTCTCAGAAACAGACACAAAATTACCAAAGTCAGCTAAATGGTAGGAAGCAATGCCCAGAGGACAGCAGCCCTGAGATCCCTCACATGGCGTGTGACTCAGATCCTGGCTGTGAAGCCAGCCAAAGAGATGAGTTCATTATTGAAAAGTTAAAGTCGGCTGTGAGCGAAATAGCACTGAGCAGGAGCAAGTTACAGGACGAGAACCAGAAGCTTCTGCAAGAGCTGAAGACGTGTCAGAGGCAGTGCCAGGTGAGGGTCTGTAGGGGGGGGCGGTGCCAGGTGAGGGTCTGTACGGGGGGGGCGGTGCCAGGTGAGGGTCTTACGGGGGGGGCGGAGCCAGGAGAGGGCCTGCACGGGGCGGGGGGAGGGGCGGAGCCAGGAGAGGGCCTGTGCTTTCGGCCTCGTTTCCAGGTATTGATGAGCTGCACAGACGCCAGCCTGACAGGGATACGGACAGTTTTATGACAGCTTTCCACTGCACTGTCAACTCAGGTCAGAGCTCCCTGCATAAGTACTTCTCACCTGAGTAAATTCGGTAATCGCATGGGTATATTAGCCTCTGGAGTCTTTTAATAGCACAGTGACAACGTGCATTATTGCCAGTGTATCGGGACAGCCGTCACAAACCTTTATGCCTAAAAAGCATACCCCAGTAGCCACCCCTCGCCCCTCCAAGCTCACTTGCAGGGTAGACTTTGGTGAGAGGCGGGGAGCTGCTCTTCATTCAGCGCCGGGAGCTCCATATCAGTCCACGTCCCACGACTGTAGCAAAGTACTCTGGGTAAACCATGGCGGTGAAAGGTTCCTTTAGGGTCATGGTTTGGGAGTGGCCTATGGCGGGGCACAACATCATGGTAGGAGAGCAGGGTAAACTGAGACCTCGTGGCCTATAGTAAAGGGGAAGGAGGACAGGCTGGGGTGTCCACCTGACGCCATCTCCCAAAGCTCCAACCACCTGGCCCGTGGAAACTCTGGAGAATAAGCCAGTAGCACACAGGCCTGCCAATGTCTGGTCATGACACTTGGTCATAAGCCCCTGTGGAACAGTCTTCTGGAACTGGAGGTTGTGGTGACGCCGTCAGATTGATTGATCAGTAGGTGTGTACCCAGTTTTTTCTTCCGTAGCCTAACCCACCTCTCGGCTCCTCTCATTCCCCCCATCCTGAAGCTCACTACCTGAGCAGACTCTGAGATACTCCGCTCTTCAACTCTCAGGAACATTTCCTAGTCCTGGGCCAGTCCCTTCTCCTCCCCACCCCACCCCGTCACTGCAGAACTGTCTGCTCTCCCCCTGTCCTCTTCCCCTGCATGGGGGGGGGCAGATCACAAGCCTCCCACATTCTCTTCCCCCAGTGACATTTCTAAGAGACCTGCATGCCCACCCCCCCCAACCCCCCCCTCCCCCGTCTTGGACTCCAACTTTGTCTGCAGAAAGACCTTATTCCAGCATTAACTTGAATACGGATATAAACAAGCAAACCAGACTGAACTGGAAAGTACTAGACACGGAAGAAGCCACACATCCAGACACCCTCCAGATGTAGGACAGGTGTGGGGGCATCTTCCCTGGTTCTGTCATAGTCTAAGATTAATTCTTGTCTTCCTGGAGGTTGGCAGGGCCGCCTACTATTCAGCTAGCTGGCTACCCACCTGCCTGCGAGAGCTCTTTGCACAATTGCTGGTCCCAGCAGGATTCTCTTCTTCTCTGGGATGGGACATTGGCCCTACCTTCTGTTTAAAGACAACTCAGAGCATACATTTCACTGCCATCTTCACAGGTAGAACCTGTGCCAGGATCACACTCAGTGAATAAGCAGATTGTCTTTCTAGGTCCTTCCAGAATCTTCTGCCCTGGGCTTCAGTTCACACAGCATGGACTGAAGAACTTTGTGTTTTGTCTCTACTTGGGGCCTTTTTGGCTCTGGTCCCTGGAAGACTGTTCCCCAAAGTGCTTGCTGAGTGTGTGGGGACAGACATAAGGATCCACAGAGCTTTGCTGGCCGGACCGTCTTTCTGGATAGTGAGCTCCAGGCTCAGCGAAAGGCCCTGTCTGCGTTTCTCAATAAAACAAAACAAAGTGGAGAGCAGTAGGATATACTCAGGGTCCACCTCCGTCCTCCTTACATATGCATGTGAGCTCCCACACCACAGGTATGAGCTTGTACATGTGCACACACATACAAACACATATAAGTTGCAGGCATTAAAAAAGCAAACCTAATGATTGCATAACATGCTCAAGAGGAAAAAAATATCTCTTGTCCTAATAAAGATAGTTTTGGAAATTGCAAAGTAATTTGGTTCAAAAGTTTCCCGATTTCTCTTTGGAAAAAGCACCAAGCCCCCTGCTTTTTTTTTCTCCTCCTCCTGCGTGTCACTTCCAGGTGGCACTCATGACCTGTCCTTTTCAGCAAATGCTGAGAATTCGTTGTTTAGACGTGTCAGTCAGTTTGAAGGTTTAAAATCACTGCTCGTCTCAGAGCATTAGACAAGTTCCTACCTGACAGATGGGCCTTAGATTTGTTTTACAAAATTTGCATTTTATCAACTAAGGATCAGTAGAGGTAAATGATGCTGGAACCATAATATGCGTTTGTGAAAAACCTTGTCTCTCCTGTGAGCCACCTGACAGGATGTTCCACATTTTGCGTGTAAATGGAAAAAGACAAGCGTTCCTATTTAAATTGCTGTCATTTGATACGTTGCGGATGCCAGCTGCGTCTGCGTCTTCTCGAGGCACATCATTTGTCTCTCTGCAGCCTTGAGACATGTCAGCGCACAGACCCCACCGCTCATGTTTATTTACTATCCGACACACCCCTCGCGTTTCTAAATGTGCAGGATTTTCCACTCAAGATTCAGGAGAAAAACAACGGCTCTGCGTCTTTCACACATCTATGCTGGGAAAGTTAACTTCTCATTTGCTTGTTAATGCACCGCTAAGAACTCGAGCAACACTGTCCAGGAAAAGTAGAATCCAGCCGTAGGTCTAATTGGAATTCTGCAGGGTTTGTTACTGTCTTTTTGTTTTGTTTCGTTGTTTTGATTTTTGAGATGGAGTCTCATGTAGCCCAGGCTGCCTTCAGACTCACCATGTAGCCTAAGGTGGCCTTGAACCTCTTAACCTCCACCCTCCTCAACTGGGCACTGGCACCCTCAGTGTTTGCAGCGCTAAGGACAGACCCCAGGGCTTCATGCACACTGGATAGATACAGCACTGTCCCACCTGAGCTCCATCCCCAACCTGGGCTTGAAATCTTCTTGTAGTCACATAAAGAGCTAGAGAGAAATTAAGTAAATGTATTGTAAATAGTGTGTTTATTCAAGCCAATACATGTGCATATCAAAACACTGTCATTTAAAACATAAACAAAATGTAAAAATTATTAATGAGATCTTACAGTTTGCACACTAAGTCATCAAAAAATCGGTGGTATAACATCTACAACATACCAACATTTCACTGCTAAATGCCTGCTCTACATTTGGGTTTCATAAAATTAAAGGGAGCCTCCGGTGCTTAAATTGTTCCAGCCACGCTTGAAAATGTCCCAGTAACAAAATCATCTTCCCAGATAGTTGACACACTGACAAATAATTGATTTGACTTTCATGCAAAATTGTATCAATTTCAAAGCTGCATCCTAGTTTTAAACGTCCATTAATTCTCATGTCAACTTGGGCTTATTGAATCCAAAGCAAGAAGATAATTCTAGACTTATCAATATCAACAAATCCTTCCCATTGTCCTTTACTTTTGCAGCCTGTTTACATCATGCTGTCAGCCACAATCTAATTGCCTCTTTATCCGTCAAATCGTTATTTCCAACATGTACATTAATTTACATCCTCACACCTGTGGGCCAGGTCATTACACAGCGTGTCTCTCCTGGATACTCATCTGTTTTCTATAAACAGAGCAGACCGCTCCTGTCACCCTGACACCATAGGTCACCAGCCCAGAGTTGAGGCTTTCCCACCTCAAGTTCCACGGTAGAAATTCCACCAAACAGAAAGCCCAGGCTGTCCCTTCTTCGCCTGTACAACATAACACAACATAACAGGTGGCTTTTGCACCAAGGTAAATTGCTTTCCTACTGTATAATTAATTGTTTCATGTCTCTTTAGTGTTTGAAATTTTAATTCTAACTGAAAAATCCCCAGTCTTTAAAACAGAGAATACCTAAACCAATCTCATAAGACTCAATCTGTTTTTAAACTTATGTCTGAATCACCAGGAAGGTGTGTGGCTAAGTTTTGTGATCAGCCCCTCCCAAACCCTGGTCCTTGGGAAACACATGTAAATTGAAGGCTTTTCCTTTAACAAAACTTCCTGAGAACTCCCATCATCTAAGTAGAGTCATTGTTCATGATCTCCAAAAAGCAGAGCTAATCCACAGTGTGTGTGACAAACAGAAACTCAGAACGTGGTATATCCATGTAACAGGACATAATCCAGCCAGAAACAGAAACAGATGAACCTTGGAGATTTGCTGAGGGTAAGGAACCAGCTGCAGGAACCACTTCCTGTGGAGTCCCCTTTGATTCCCAGGGAACGGCCAGCGTGGCTGCAGAAGATTCTCTACCAGGCCTTGGTGTGCCGAGCGATGCCAGCGTGTAATCCCCTCCCTTCTGCCAACAGACAGCCAGGCTCAGAAGCTCCCCATATCCAAAGGCAGAAACTGATCTCCACCCATCCTCCTGTTACTGATCTCTCTGTTCTCCACCCATCCCCCTGCTACTGATCTCTCTGTTCTCCACCCATCCCCCTGCTACTGATCTCTCTGTTGTGCCTCGGCTTCTTGCAGGCACCTTCTGAGGAGCCCCGCCCACTGCTATTGCCCATTCTCTCCTGTCCAGGTCTCTGCTTCACTTCTGAACTGCTCAGGCCTCTTGGGGACCCACGGGGTAGCTGGTATTCCTAGACACTTCAGCCTTGACTGCCATGGGGAAGGGGACCAACAAGGTTCCTAAGTCATCGTGTCAGGAAAGCTGACTGATGGCCTTGGCCATGCGATTGTCTGTCATTTGCTTACTGTTTTATTATCCAGAAAGCACCAGCGTTGATTAGAGCTCACACTTTGTACTTTATTCAAACTCCATGGCCTCAGGTGGGCACACAGGGGGACCACATTGATGTGGTTTGGTCATTTGTTCTTTGTCTTTATCCGGGATGGCGAGCTCTCTGAGGGCAATTAACATCTGTGCCCCCAGAACACACACTAGGAGCTCAGTGAGGATTTGTCCAGAGAGTGAAAGGAATTCTGTAAGACAGAGGAAGCAAAAGAGGAAAAATGTTTCACTTTAAATTAAGCACATTCTAGCCGGTCGGTGGTGGTGCACGCCTTTAACTCCAGCACTTGGGAGGCAGAGGCAGGAGGATCTCTGTGAGTTTGAGACCAGCTTGGTCTACAGGAGCTGGTTCCAGGCCAGCCTCCAAAGCCACAGAGAAACCCTGTCTCGGAAAACAAAACAAAACAAAACAAACAAAAAAATTAAGCACATTGTGATGGACATTGACGGTCCTCCATGGAGGGCCTCACTATCCTTGGCGAGTCAGTGGGAGGTGGGTTAAGGGGGTCGGTGGAGGGCTTGGGAGGATGGGAGGGCAAGAGAATGGGGGATTGATATGTAAAAAAAGATTGTTTCTAAAGTAAAAAAAAGATCAATAAGAGAGAGTTAAAGAGCCTGACCATCAAGATTTGAATCTTTCCCTTGCTACCTTCTAGTAGTCAATGATAAACAAGTAAATCAGAAATCAGAATGATGGGGGATATCCTTCTGTACATGTGTTTCTCTTATTGGTTGATGAATAAAACACTGATTGGCCAATAGCCAGGCAGGATGTATAGGCGGGGCTACCAGATAAGGAGAATGCTGGGGAGGGGAAGGCAGAGAGAAGCCACCAGTGGGAGATACCATGAAGAGACTGGGAAGATAGGACGCACCAGGAATTCTCTGGTAAGATAAGGCCATGTAGAAATACATAGATTAGTAGTTCTGGGTTAATCATTAAGAGAGAGCTAGCCAGTAAGAAGCCTGAACCATTGGCCAAACAGTTTCTTTTAAAAAATTAAGCACATTGATTTATTGATGCTAATTTTTAAATTTTAATTGTTTGACAGCTTCATACATGTATGTGGTGAATTTTAGTCATTTTCACCCATCATCACCTTCTCCCAGGCCCCTCATGCTCCAACTGTATCTCTCCCTCTTCCTAACAAAGCCTCTTCCTACTTTCATGTATGAGTGTTTGAGTTTATGTGAGAGTGTGTTGTGTGACTGTGTAAGTATGTGTTTATGTGGGGGTGCGTGAGACTGAGAGTGTTTGTGTGAGCATGTATGAGTGTGTGAGAGTGTTGCATGAGAGTGTGTGAGAGAGACTGAGTGTGTTTGGGTGAGCATGTATGAGTGTGTGAGAGTGTTGCATGAGAGTGTGTGAGAGAGACTGAGTGTGTTTGGGTGAGTGTGTAAGACTGTGTGAGTGTGTGCAGGAGAGTGTAATAGTGTGTGTGTGTGAGAGTGTGTTTGTGAGTGTGTATGTGAATGTGTGAGAGAGTGTGTGTGTGAGAGAGAGAAGGGTGTGGGGTGGGTTTGTGGGTCACCTCGTGGATTTCATTAGGATTGCGTGCATGGGCGTGGACTTACTAATTGGAGCATGGGCAGTTTGCAGATGGCTACATCATGGAAGAAAATGACTTCCCCTTTCCCAGTAGCCATTAACCGCCAGTAGCTTCTCGAGGAAGAGTGGGTCCTCAGGAGCCCCCTCTCATCCATGACGGAGTGCTGACAGGCCCCGTCTTGCACAGGTAACCACGTGGTAACCACAGCTGCTGTGAGTTCATGAGAACAACAGCCAGGCCATGTCCCCTCAACATCATGCCAAAGACTCCTCGTCCTCGTCCTGCGGCTCTTACATCTTCCCTTCACAGTGTTTCCTGAGCCTCGAGGGGGGTGGCTGATAGAACGTCTCATTTAGGGCTGGAGCACCCACAGCGTCTTGTTCTCCGCATTTTGACCAGTAGTCTCTGAGTTAACCACTGCCCACTGCAAAAGGAGGGTTCTCTGGGAACACCACTAACTTACAGACATAGACAAGAGCTTAGAAGGCGGTGTAATGTGTTTCTTTAGCAAGATAACAGTAGCAGCTTCTTCCTAGGTCTCAGGATCTCCCCATCACCCAATCGCAGGTATGCATTCCTTCCTGTGGCAGCGCAAGCCTCAAATCCAATCAGAACGTGCCTGGTTATCCCCACAGCGTCCACGCCACTACTGCGCGGGCGGGCACCTGTTGCTTGACATGTTGGCGGCACGCAGGGTCTTCCGCTGGGTAATGCCGTTGGCACGTTTTCTCCCGCAGCGGCCTGCGCAGCACATTCTGAGCTTCGAAAGAGGAGGAAGCCGCCAGCTTGATTTCCCCCGGTCTTGCAATCAGTATCTCGGCAGTAGGATCCGGCGGGCACCAAGAGCAATGGCGATACCCTGTGCTGTCTTGAAGGACTAGATTCTTTTTTTAATGTGTTGTGCACCATATTTCTACAGTGAATGCCAAAATTTCTTTTAATGCAGGCCATGGAAGCAGGACTGTCAGAGGTGAAGAATGAGTTACAGTCACGCGATGATCTCCTGAGGATTATAGAAATGGAGAGATTGCACTTGCACAGAGAACTGTTGAAAATGGGAGAATGCCAGTCTGCTCAAGAGAACAGGAAAAGGTACAGTTCTCACAGGGGAGAGAAAACCCTCGAAGCAGGCCGTGTGGGGGGGGGGGGGGGCTTCATAGCTGAACCAGAATTAAAGTTTATTTGAATTTACCATGCATTCTTCGGGATATTAGTAGAAACAGTAGCGTAGAGCTGGCGTTTAGTTGTAGATTTGCAGAGAAAGGAGATGTATTCTTTATTCTAACTGTCTGTGGTGTAGTTGCCTACAAGCCTGATGCTAACCTCTTCACTTGCTGATGGGGTGGTAAGTTTGCCTCTGCCCTCACAATCGTGGCTCAGTGGTTTAGACTTCCGGAGAACCCTAGAATCCATGACAGGTGGCTCACAAACACTCAGAACTGCAGTTCCAGGACACCTGATGCACAGGCACACACGCAAGCGCATAACTTAAAACAAGATAAAGCTCTTCTTAAAAAGTTAGTTCTAGCACGGATTTTTCTGCCTTAGGAGTAGACACATATTTCACAGCCACCACAAAGTAGGCCTCCTGAGAATTCAGTGTTTGAGGTTCTGAAGAGAAGGTCTGGTTTCTTTAACAATTAACTAGCGTGGGACTTTTCTTCTCAGAATCAGCAAGCTAACAAAACAAATGATGGGATTTTAAAAATCTGAATAGCTAAACGACCAAGGATATTTTGCAGAAAGATAATTGTCACTGCTTCCCAGGCAGTAATAATTTCTTCAAAATCGTAGGACATGGCAGCACGGAAAGATGGCTCAGTGGTTAGGGCAACGACTAACTACTCTTCCAGAAAACCTGGGTTCAACTCCCCATACCCACATATGGCAGCTCATGGCCATCTGTAGCTCTACTTCCAGAGGATCCAATGTCTTCTCCAGGCCTCTGCCGGCACACCACACACTCTTAACAGGGTGCACAGACACCCACACATAAAATAAACATAAATCCTGAAATTAAAAAAAAAGGCAATGTCAGGCTAGTCATGATGACACAGATCTCTAATCTCAATTCTAGGGAGGCAGAGGCAGGCAGATCTCTGTGAGTTCTAGCCCAGCCTGGTCTGCACAGTGAGTTCCATTCCAGCCGGTTCTACAAAAGGACAAACCTAATAACGCCCTGTCCAGATACGGCCTGCTTGCTTTCGGTACACATTACCATATATTTGGCCAATACAAACTCTTCTTTAAGCTCTGTCAAACCGTATGATCATTTCTGTCTCCAAACGACGCCTCTTTGACTCGGAGGGACCCCCTCAGATGTCTCATTCTTAATGAGATGACGTCATGTACTGAGATGGCGTCATGTACTGAGACGACGTCATGTACTGAGATGACGTCATGCACTGACCATCATGGCTTTCCACCGTGTTTGGGACGCCCTCAGATGTCTCATTCCGGGACTTAACGAGATGACATCATGTACTGAGATGACGTCATGCACTGACCATCACGGCTTTCCACCGTGTTTGGGACCCCCTCAGATGTCTCATTCCGGGACTTAACGAGATGACGTCATATGTACTGAGATGACGTCATGCACTGACCATCACGGCTTTCCACCGTGTTTGGCTCCTCAGGCTGCCTTTGTCTTGCCCGCTGCAGTCTTCAAATGCTTTCAGTCTGGTGTCGCGGCTGCTGCTTCTCTAGTCTGCTGTCTGGGTTTCTTTAGCTTGATGCTGCCTCTTCTCCATGGTTTATTAAGGTGACGCAGCCCAGAGCATCGGCGCAGTGGTGAGTGACGTTTCCATTCGTTTCCAGAGCCTTTCCTGATGATATTAATTTTGTTGGCTTTGCCATTTCCTCCTTCCCAGCACGCGCACCATGAGCCGACATGGTTTTTATTACTAAACAGTAGTTCCGAGATCGTTTTCCGAAATGAAAAGCCATACTTCCTTCATCTGTCTGCATTAGCATGGTCATGTTTTCTAAGCACTTACCCACATCAGAATGGCATGTTTTCCATCCACTCCCTGAACCTGGCAGCTCACCACAAAGTTTTGGAGGTCAGTTCAGCACTGCACCCCTTAGGAGTGTTTGGCAAGAATCTAGAAATGAGGACGTTCTTTTTTCCCTTTCCAAATCATAGCAAGTGAGAAATTTTAAGACTCCTTTTGGAACTGATGCTTAAGCAGACTGTTAGATAAAGTGGAAATACAACACAGGTCAGTGGGAAACAAACAGGCACTTCCGGAAAGGAACATGTAGTGTGTACTCTGATCATATGGAAGTAAATAACATGTAGTGTGTACTCTGATCATATGGAAGTAAATAACATGTAGTATGTTCTCTGATCATACGGAAGTAAATAACATGTAGTGTGTACTCTGATCATACGGAAGTAAATAACATGTAGTGTGTTCTCTGGCCATATGGGAAGCATGTTCACTTGGATATGCAGAGAGAACAACATTCACAGAAAGCTGACCGAGGGTCTTCCAGGATCATTACACAGCAGTGTCGGTAATGCTCACACACTATGTTGGCCTACATAAACTAGCATGTGTGTGTGTGTGTGAGAGAGAGAGAGAGAGACAGAGACAGAGAGAGAGACAGAGACAGAGAGAGAGACAGACAGAGAGACAGAGACAGAGAGACAGACAGAGAAATGGTCAGAAAGATCAACCCAGTTTACACACCTTTGAGAGAGTCTTTATTTATAATCTTTAAATTATTTCTCCACCATTGCTCAGATTTGGAGTTGTGCTTTTATTTTGTGTGCTTTGTGTTTCTAATATTTGGATTGCCCGGGGATGTTTACAGAAAGCCCAGTTATACCCCCAGGTAACTCCTTTTGAGTCACAACAGACTAAAGTGGTGATCTCACCTAGGTTCCTGGAGCTGCTGTCCAGTTCCACCACCCTCCCCCCTCCTCCCCCCTCCTCTCCTCCCCTCCCACCCTCCCCTCCACTTCATATTTTAATGACTGGTTCCAGTTTGCCATGTAGGGAAGTAGCCCTCACTAGCTGTGCTTCTCTGAGCATCAGATGAGGTTGTCCTTCTGCCAGGAGTTTCTCCTCCCTCGCTCCCCTCCCCATGTTAATAAGTGACTGCTTTTCCATCTTATATGCAAGAAGTCAAAAAGCAGGCACATTTGAGCTCCCTCCCTGGCCACGCCGTCAGATGTCGTCATTTCCGGTCCTCTGTGGGCTGTGCCCCTGGACTTGGACGTATGTATGTCTTTGCCCCGGCACATCAGCACTTGGGGCACCAGCAGTTTCATGTTGCTGGGCGTGATCACTGTTATTTAGAACCTCTTGTAGATAGTGTCAGTCTTTTAAAGAATAGTCCGTCCCCTCCCCAGCTTCCTAATGAATAGAACCTGGGCTCACAGGAGTAGCTGGCAGCAATCTACAGTTAGGTTACTCTACCCTCCTCCTTGCAATTAGGATACTTAGCACTAACACCTCTTCATTCCTGCTGCTCAGCCTCAGTGGTGGTCTGCCAGCACCCCTCGTATGTGACCAATAACACACTCCTGGGTACGTGACCAAGACACTCCTCAGCTGATTGCTAGGCACCGACCCCTCCCTTATTGTCCGGCATCCCCCTACCTCATTTCCCCTATTTAAGCCTGTACAGAATTCTCATTAAACGGCAGCTTGATCAGAAGGTCTGTCTTGATGTCCATCTCTCTCCTGTCTCTTGTCTCATTCATTCCAGGTTCCGCTGGGCTCAAACCCATTGTGCCCTGCTGGTCAGGGCATCATGTATTTCCATTAGGTTCCCAAGCTGTTTTATTACAAGAAGCAGTCTTTTCTTCTTATTCAAAACTCTTATCTCCAGGGGATGGAGCGCTGGCTAAGTACAAGCACTGCCAGCTGCTTTTCCAGAGGTCCTGAGTTCAGTTCCCAGCAACTACATGGTAGCTCACGAACATTTATAATTCAATGTCCTCTTCGGGAGTGCAGGCATACAAAGAAACAAAGCACGTGTGTGCATAAAATATATAAATAAATAAACTTTAAAATCTTTTCTACATATGTAACCCCAGTGTTTCGCCTACTTAATGTATAATTGAAATGCCTATTGAAATGTCTTTTCTCTCATTAAAACCACTCTTGCTAAAACACAGAAATAGTCTCAGGACTTGGAACTACTAGAATTTGCAATTGTTGTAGCTAATGGTGTTGACAATATAGTGATCTATCTCCACAGCCTCCAATGGTCTAGACTAACGATATAATTAACAATTTGCAAGTTAAGCTTAAGTGCTGCCTGCTTTGTTTTTAATTTGCAGACTTGACACATCATATTCCCCTTCTACTAAAGAAGCAGAGAGGAAAAGGAAAGAGTTGTTTTCCATGGTCTCAGATCAACCAAATCACGAAAAAGAATTAAACAAGGTATGGGATATGGCGAGGTCCATTCTTCTGGCTCTAACGTCTCTGCATAAAATTGGCTTTAAAATCTTCCTTCACGCTCCCTTCTTTTTCCTACTGTATTTTCTCCAAAAGAAATAATCTGCCAAGCGGATAATTCTGATATTCCGTGTGAACACAAATCTTGAATTACTCTGCCAGCGGGAGGCTGCAGATAAAATGTGGAGGCATGTCTTCGCGAGGGAGCTCAGCATGTGGGTGACCTTGGGAGACCTGCCCGCAAGCCTCATCCATGATGGGGTGGCTAGTACTGTAGACATAGTGAAAGAATGTCTGTCTCTCCAGATAGGGCCTTGACTCTCGAGGGAAGGAAGGGTTCCACTCAAGACTCGTTTGGTAAACTAATGAGTTTATTAATTACCTACAGAAGGGGGAAGGGCATGTTTACAGGATCATGTGGGATTCAGAGGCAGTTGCATCGCAGAAGCTGCAACTCTGGAGCTCTGGACTGGCAGCTCCTGGTCCCAGCAACTGCTAACTACTTTGGGGATCTTACAACCTTAGGGTGCCCTGGGCCTTCCCTTGCAGGGGTTAGTTAGTTTCCTGTGTCTTGTGAGCTCTGTTTTCAGTGCAGGAAGGAATGTTTCAACTCAGAAGAAATAGAAACACAACTTCCAGCCCCCTGAGGTTATGATGGGGTGAAATGAGTCAATGTCTGCTGACACTCTTGTGGCATGTGCCAGGGACAAACTGTCCCAAAGACTGAACACAGCCTACGTCGCTCAGCCCTCACGATCATCTTTAAAAATGGGGCCCATGTCTTCTTCTTTTTGCCTTAGAGGAAACTAAGGCACAGAGAAGTTGACTAGATTCCCCCACATTACACAGATGATAAGTGGTAGACGAAACTTTTCAATGTAGGCTGTGTCACCCCAGAGACTACATGCCTAAATCTGTTCAAAAACGATGAGCTAATGCAAGTCACATGCTTAGGAAGAGCCTGGCTCAGAGCCACCGCTGACAGATGTGGCCTAGCGGTGGTCTGGGCCACACTCACATTTCTGAGGGCCCGGGGTGGACCAAGCCCCCTGCCAGGGGTTGGAAGCCTAAGGCTAGGAGACTCCAGGCATGGCTCACGTGGAGCTTGTGGTTCTTCCTTCCTCTAAAATCAACGTGTCTCCCTTGTAATTGTTCTACCAGTTTCAATAGGAAATCCGTTGGCATGGCAGATCCTGACTGGGTGTAATTCACACCAATAATCCCAACGCTGGTGGAGGTTGAGGCTGACTCTGCGGGGCAGGGAGAGGCCAGAGAGCACACCTCCAGGCCCCCAGAGGCCCAGGCAGCAGCGCTGTGCAGTGCAGTGGTGGATGGGTGGGATAACCAGCTGCAGCTTCCAGAAGTATCTACAAAGAGCATTTCCATTCCCTTGTAATGACACTAACAAGTGCCATGCACTATGACTTTCGTGAGTGTTTTTTCCTGTGTGGAAACAGAGCTGTCTTTAGTCACTTACTTTGTGATAAAATTCACATTTTAAAAACCATGTCACTGGAAGCAGGTAAGTCAATCTCATTTAGAAACACTCTCTGTGGGAGAGCATGTTGTTTTAATATCTAACCACAGTAAACTAATAAAAAAAACTCAATCCTCTTTCAGAATAGCATATTCGTTTTCTTAACTTTCGGAGTTTCATTTTTAAGAGGACAGTGCTAAGCCACACCACGGAGATATAAGCAGTGAAGTCCAGATTCAATCCAGACAATATAGCTGGTTCACCAAGTAAACTGTAAGGAGGAAAAACCGAGAGGGGGAATCAAAGAGATTCAGAGGGAGTAAGCAGGATGGCCCAGTAGATAGAGGGGCTTGGTGCTAAGAACTTGACGACCAGAGTTCTAAACCCAAGACTCATGGTAGAAGGAGTGAACCAGTACCTGTAAGCCCTCTGAACCTCCCGTGTGTCCGGAGCATGCATGTGAACACACACACACACATGTAATTTAAAGAGACCCATCACACATTCTGGGCTCAGGCCCTGTCACCGAGACTCTTGCTTTGGGGAGCTGGACACCCCAGCTCCTGCTTGCTGAATGGCAAAGTTAAGACCATGTGGTTTCTAAGTCTTAGTAACGGGAGCAGGACCAGATAAGAGTGGGCGGAGTCTAGCCGAGGATGCAGCACGTCCTGATACAAGCTGCCCACCTCCCAGCTGGGTTAGGCACCCTCCAGGACAGTCCTCAAACACCGTGCTACACCGTGCTGTAAATATCTGTGATCTTTCTCCTCTACCCCATATGTGTGTGCTCTGAGAGAAGGATCCTTGTGTAATTTATCTCTGACTCCCCAGGGAAAGACACAGTGAGTGGTCTTTTTGTTGTCGTTGTTTGTTTGTTTGTTTGTTTGTTTTTGGTTTGTTGTTGTCTTTTGAGACAGGGTTTCTCTGTGTAACAGTCCTGGCTATCCTGGAGTTTGCTTTGTACTAGGCTGGCCTTGAACTTACTAATATCAAACTGCCTCTGCCTCCAAAGGGCTGGGATTACAGGTGTGTACTACCACACCTGGCTAAATGTCTAGTTGAGTCTTTAAGCAACTTTTCTTTTTGTTTGTTTTGTTGTTGTTGTTTTTTTTTTTTGAGATAGTATTTCTTTGTGTATCCCAGGCTGCCCTGGAAATCTCTCTGTAGACCAGGCTGGCCTCAAACTCACAGAGATCCACCTGCCTCAGCCTCCCAAGGGCTAGGATTAACAGCGTGCACCACCACCGCCAGGCAGAGTAGTCTTTAAAAGGATGCTGCGGAGTGTGACCAAGGCAGGAGGGAGTAATGGGAACAGAGAACAGAGGGTCTGACAGGGTGAGCTGGGCTGCTGCCAGCTCGATCTGGAAAGCAGAGTGTGGTGAGGAGTCCAGGTCCCACGGGTCCTGTTATGGGAAGGTGAGCAAAGATAACAAGAGACTCCAGGGGTCAGGGGAAGCCAGTAAGACATTCTGACCCACACACTAGGCCTAGTTACTTGGAGGTTCTGAGATGCAGTTAGAGTCACAACTGGTACGGAGAGATTTACACTAGTTTCAAATTAAGGTTTTTTACTTGGTTAAAGCCAAGAACTGTGAGTTCTCGTCTCAAATCCGACACTTTTTGTATGATTTGAGCAAGTTGTTTACCCTTCTCAGGTTTTTTCCTTCATAAGAAAGTCCTGATGGCCAGACTTGGTGGTGCGCACCCATAATCCCAGAACGTTGGAGGCCAAGGCTTGAGCATCCAAAGATAAAGGGCAGTCTGGGCTGTGTAGGTAGACCCTGCCTCAAAATCACAACAAAGTACTTTGTAACAATTTCTCTCAAGTCTGCAGTACCAAAGCTGTAGTGACACTTCATCCATGACAAGAAAGTGATGGACTTTAGGGGTTGGGAGGGAACTGTGAATTCGGTGAGCTGTTTAGCACTAGTCAGAAAGGGCGTGCCGTGGGTCACAGGGGAGAAGCACTGAGGCAGTCCCATACAGGCTGCAGCTGCTCTGTGAGAGGGGCGGTTCATGTCTCTGGGTCACTCTCCCTGCAGATGAGGAGCCAGATCTATCAGGAGGAAGACCGATGCTCTGAGCAGGAACGCATGAGGAATGAGATCTCCGACCTCACCCAGGAGCTTCACCAGAAGGAGATGACTATAGCAACTGTCATGAAGAAGGCTGCCCTTCTGGAGAGACAGCTAAAGATAGAATTAGAAATAAAAGAAAAAATGTTAACCAAGCAAGAGGTATGCGTTCAGGGAAGCACTTTCCAGGGCTGACGTTTTGCTCAATGCTCACCCATGCCCTCCTCCTCCACTGTCAAGAGGAGCCTTGGGTGCGCCGGGGCCAATGTTTGAGACCTGGTGACAGAGACACCTTGTGGTGCCCCCTTAAACCCCCACGCCATGGGCAAAGTATCATCAGAAAAACACTAGGGACCTACAAGACCATGCATGCAAGGGCAATGAGTCCCATGCTGACCCTGTCTTCCCAAGCCTCATACACCCTGCCTCCGTCGGCAGCTGCTTTCAATACGGCCTTTCCACTAACACTTTGCCCCCACCCCCACACACACGTTTAATGGCTTGCCATTAGTGTTTTAAACACGGAGGCTGCAGAATAAAAACTGACAATTGTTTTGGAGGCTGTCAGTCCAGCCTGGCTTCGAACTCACAGAGATCCGCCTGCCTCTGCCTCCCGAGTGCTGGGATTAATGGCGTGCGCCACCACCGCCCGGCCCATACTTTCTAAACATCCTTTCAGCACACAGCATGTCCTCAGAGACAAGCAGACATTGCGAGGGTCTGCCATAAGACACTGCAGGGGGGTGCTCACGCCCACTCTCCCTCCTACTTATTTTTTAAATCCTCCTGCTCTCTTATGAATAATCAAATTTGTAACCTGCTTTCGACAGCACGGGCTTTACGGCCTTTTCACTCCAAATCTAGGTGATTTTGGAGCACGAAACATGAGCCAAGACAGTCTCCACAGGAGCAGTTAAATCATGTGTATCTACAAAAACAGGAGAGATTAGGCGTCCATCCAGCCATAGGCCTTAGACCGACCAGTTTGTCCCACGCACAGGACAGCCGCCACAGGGCACTGGCTGGGCACAGGACTATGCAGCTGTCAGAGTGAGCATCGAGCGGCACATGAATGACACTCATTTTCATTTGCACATTGTCGCTTCTGTCAAGGAGCATATAGTCTATAATTTACAAAAGTAAACCTTTTTAAAGCAAGAGTCCGAAATCCAAATGAGCCTTAGATGCACCAAAGAACAGGCCAGGAATGGAGGCACTCGTCAGTCGTTCAGGTAGAAACGAGGGAAAGGAAACGACACAAAATGAAGTCACGGGCTAGCAAGGAAACGCAGCCAAGACACCAGAAGGAACAAATTAAGCCGTATACTGCTTGCCGTAAAAGTTAATCGGGCGTTGAAGGAGCATAATGAGCGGACTCTTCAAGAAGGGTTTTAACAATCGTGACTCTTCTGGTTATAATTCCTATACATGAGAAATGGAATTTTAGGCTTGGTAGGAAAAAAAGTAAATCATTACTTAAGTGCTTTAAATCTAGCACTGCTCAGACAGGAGGCAAGGTCAGGGGAGGGAACAGGGGCCCCCGACTGGCTTTGCACTCACGGGACCGAGCGAATGAGCAAGATGGCGAGTTCCCTTGTGAGTTTCACGTGTGTCTTTTGTGTACTAATCTTTCAGGTCTCGGATATGAGATACAAAGCTGTCCGAACAGAAAACACACACCTGAAAGGAATGATGGGAGACTTAGATCCTGCACGGTACTTGGTAATGCACTGAATTCACTCCCCCAAACTGAGCAGGAGACGGTTGTCTGGTCAGGGCTGACGTGCAGCCTGGGCACTGAGCATGCGCATCAGAGCTGGGCGCTGCCTCCCCGCAGTGGCTTGCCCAAGCTGAAACACTTGCGTTGGGCTCGGATCTGATCCCTTCCCAGACATGCAAAGCATGCAGTTTCTTGACTTTTACTCCTGAAACCCTATACCCTAGACGGCCCGACTTTAGTGCCAACCTTATGGTCAGTGAAGCCCTCCCCGCAAACCCGAATCAAGACAGTTAGGTCCGTCCTTGCTGGTTTCATACTTGGCTCTGACTTGTTTTGTGGCTTGCCCCTTTCAACTGAATGGCAAGCAGGAAGTTGGCATGGCCAACAGCTCGGGACATCCGGTACAAAGCAAGCATTCAGTGTCTGTTGACTAAGATACATGAATTAGCCCCTGGCTCTACCTGCCCTTCCAAACAAGTTAATTGGCTCCAAGCCTCTCATTTCCATTGTCTGATGTAGCAGCCGACTGCTGACTTTTGAAGAACTTTCGTTGGTTGAAATACTAGTCTTACTTCTTATCTTTTCATTTATTCATTAAAAAAAGTCCTACCGTTATTTACTTTTTAACTGTCCAAGGAACAGAAAGGGTAAGATAGGAAAACGTGGGCCTCATGGTTGCTTACGCTGCCCTGTCCCTTTAGCCGTAATGTGAGCAAGAGGGTGGAGGCCTTGGCCAGGCCCCTTCCGAAGCCGATGTTGTATTTCTATCGTGTTGTTCAACCTGTTCTCACGTGAGTCCGTATTCCAGCATGAAGACAGTAGAAGCACCTGGAAGCACCCTCCCTCCTTCCTTGAGCATGGCTGTGGACCCTGTGACTGGAGCACAGATGGATGAAAAGGGGAAGCTTGCTGGTCTCCCTACCTGCCTACATTAAAAACCTGCCCATCATCTCCGCATTTTCATTCCCTAACGCGGGACGCGCAAAAGTTAAAGCGGCTCCCAGCTCCCACGTGTTTGTCTGTGTATATACCCCAGGTCACCATAGCCCTGCCCTCCGAGGGCCTTCACGCTGCTCCTGTAGGCTTTTGGCTTTGCTCACGTATGTTATTTATTATTTTTAAGAACTAAAACTCACAGAGGTACGTAAAGCAACCCGCTAATTGCCCACGCCCCTTCCCCCAGGCGCACTTGGGCAGCAGAGGGCTCTGTGATGGCAGGCGGGAGGGAGGGCGGGGCTCCCAGAGCTTTCTCCTGACCATTCCCACAGATAACGTAGGGAGATGGTGTCCCCCCACACGATAGCCGTGAAGCTCAAGCGGCGCCCAGAGCTGACCCCCAGCTGCGTGCGTGCTCAGCAGTCCAAGTCAGCAAGTCCTGGGAAAGCTTACACTCATCGGAACCGCACACAACTGTCTACGAATTAGCTGCACTGTGCAGGCCGGTGGCTTCAGAGCACGGTTTCCCTACTTTAGTCTCTCCGCCCCCTCCCTCCGCATCTTGTCCCACGAGCCAGTGTACAGGGACTACTCATTTTGTCACTTACTCACACACCCATACAAACACACATATGTGCTTATCCGGGGGTTTTCTCACTAAAATAAGGAAGGCTCGAAGGGATGGAGCTCGCAGGATTTAAGAGCATTTGCTGCTCTTGTATAGGATTTGATTCAGTCCTCCCCCCACACACACACACACAGCAGCTCACAGATAACCTAACAAGTCCATTCCAGAGTATGTGATGTCGTCTCCTGATCCCGTCAGGCTCCTGTACACATAAAGGCACACAAACATACGCACAGACATACATGTAGTTATTTTTAATTACTAGGTTCACATACGTCTGCATGTCACTCGTGTGTGTGTGTTTTATTTTTGTTTGCACTGATAATGCCTTTCCACATGGACTGGTTCAAGCGTATTCTGCCCTTTATAACAGCTGGTGAACGTTCCACGGTGTTGATGCATCAAAACGTATTAGGCTGTCTCCCCTAAGTATTTTAGTGGGTTTGACTCTGCTTCTGGATAAACAGCTCATAAAACATCCCAACATGTACATCTTGGAGCAGCTCCTGGAGGAGGAAGGGCTGGTTCGCAGGCTATGTGTTTTAATGTTAATATCACCATCACGACCTCTTTCTTTTCATCTCTATGCCTTCTTGTTGCCAGTACTATTACTGCACGGACTTTTTCAGTAGTTTCCATCATTTCCTGCATTAATTGGTAGTTTGTAGCAATATGAATTAGATATACTTTAAGCATATTTTCTCTGACGGTAGTTTTCTTTTTCTTGACAATTTATAGAAACATTTTCAAAGTCTGTCCTCTGTGACTTTTATATCTTTGCCATGCAAGAAGTTTTAAACTTTGACTTGCCAAAAAATCAGTTTCTCGGTGGGTATATGTGGGACTTCCTTCTTTGGTAACAGAGCTTTCCACATCTCCATATACAATTTTGTATTTTTCAGAGGTTTTATATTTTTGTATAATTGTTCGATCCATTTAAATTGTACTTTAAAATGCAATGCGTAATGGCTCAGTTAAAATTTTCATGTAGACTAAGCTCAAGGCACCAGGTTTCTCTTTGTAATTTCCCATGGATTCTATCTGGAATTGAATTTGGTTTTTGTGTTAACTCTGAAGACAAAGCTTTTATTATAATCAGATATAGCATGATTCCCCATTTCTTTATAATACATTTCCCAGTAATGCAATTTTCTTTGAATAGTTCCTGTTTCCTTCCTTTAAAATTATTTCCCAAGTTATTTACAATCCTTGTCACTATTAGAAATAGAATTTCTTGCTTTTACCACATCAAGCATCTAATTGCTAATATAGAACAAGGCCCAGTTAGTTTATTCCTTCTAGAGTAGTGGTTCTCAATCTTCCTAATGCTGCAACCCTTTAATACAGTTCCCCTTGTTGTGGTGACCCCCAACCATAAACTCATTCCATTGCTGCTTCATAACTGTAATTTTGCTACTGTTAGGAACTGCAATTTAAATATCTGATATTTCCAGTGGCTTAAGGTGACCCTCAAAGGGGTCCTGATCCACAGGTTGAGAACTCTGTTCTAGAAGGAACTTCCCTAATGTAGTTTAGCTCTCTCCTCTTTTTCAGTGCTCACAACTGGTCTTGTCATTGTCACACAACGCCCTTGCTAAGACCTCCGAGAAAATCTAAGTCAAGGCAGTACTTGCTGGCTGAATTTCTAGTTTCTGACTATAAATGTCACGCTTTTGGAGTTTCGCAGGGTGTAAATTTGTTTTTGATTCATGATCCTGTGCCGTTCTTTCTGCCCTATTGTGAAATGCATTCCTATGTATTAAAATTCTGTAAGTACAAAAAAATCCCATAATCAGATAATTATTTCAGCAATGATTGGAATATATAAATATAAAATTAATAGGCTACAGCTGAAATTTCACCCTAGGTAGAAAGAGACAAAATATAGACATTACTTTCAGCCTCCTAATATTTCAGTAATATTAAGATAGCAGTTGGTTTTTTCTTTTTTTTTTTAACTTGCATGTATGTTTGTGTACCACATGTATGCAGTGCATGGAGAAGTCAGATGGTGTCTGGTCCCCTGGAACGGGGCTAAGGATTAAGGACAGTTATTAGCTGCCATGCCCATGATGGGAGCCAAATCTGGGTCCTCTGCAAGAGCAGCCAAGTGATCTTAACCACTGAGCCATCGTTCCAGCTCCAGTATGTCCATGCTAGACAAGGAAATCACTGATCTTGAAATTGGTCCTATCTAAATAAATACAGATTTGAGAACGTTTCTGGTTGCCTAATCCTGGCGCTCTTTGCTTTCCTCCATTGAGGAAAAGGAAGTTGATCTGAGATGCCCGGGGTGGGGCTGGGGAGGAGGAAGCTCTTTGCTTCCCTCCATTGAGGAGAAGAAAGTTGATCACAGATGCCTGGGTGGGGCTGGGGGCTGGGGAGGAGGAAGCTCTTTGGAGGCCACTGCCCTGTGGGCAGCGTGCTCTAGCTGTAGAGAAAGGTTGGCTGGGTCAGCCACAGGGTGGCTAAGTTTCTCCAGGTCTCAGTGAGCTGCTTAAATGACCTCCTCAGAGTCTTCCCCCAGAATTCAGACCTTCCTCTGCATTTCCTAAACTGTCATAGCATGCAAGAAAACAACAGTAAGTAGATCAGTCTTTGACACGAAACAAAGCAAGTGAACATTTTAATAGCCTATATGTACATATTGTGTAAGTATATTTACAACTTTATTTTCTGTGTTGATATTAATATGATGGTATGAATGATTGCCGATAGATATCAGCTATTCAAAAATGTGGGAAAGTTGGGAGTGACTTTGAGTATTATTCTGTGTGAATGGATCTCAAAGCTTGAGAATTGTGGGACTATAAAAACAAAAGTCTAAGCTCCAATCACTTAGCTTTCTAGGGCTTGAATTCCAAATGTTTGGAGCTTCAAAAGGATGGGTTGCTCAATCCAGGTATTTTGTGCTACAGTATTACCCTTCTGACCCCAGAGAACTGTTGTCCTGTCAGCCAGCCGCAATGCAGCTCGGGATAGTCAATGCACGGGACTGGACAGAGGCAGACGATAGAGTGTCACACAGAGCTTTCCCACAACTTGCTGTGTCAGAATAGAGTCTATCCTGCAAAGCTTTATGGGAACAGTATAAGCTCACGAGTGTGTGTGTGCGCACGCATGCACACACACACACACACACACACACACACCTGCTCTGGAAACTTCCTACCGTGTTTAATTAAAACAGCCTGGGAAATCTCTAAGCCGCTTGTTTAAGGCATTTATTTTGTAATTTAAATGTATTTTGTTTTATATTCTGTAGACCATGCATTAGTAGATCAGGTAGCAAATCTCTACTATAAAAGGACACAGATTCAAATGTGCAGTGTTGGCTCTGTCTCAACTGCAAGATCAATGCAGCTAAATAGTTCAGATTCCCATCCCAGTCCACATAAGTTCTGCATGGAATTTGTTACATCACCCAGCATGCGGGGCATGAATATTTTAATCAATATGCGATTGGAATAGTTGGAATAATTTATTATTTTTACTGTCTTTACTTTTATAGCAAAATTAACTCAAAACAAGTTAAAGAATTAAAGTGAAATAATGAAATCATAAAGCAAATAGAAGAAAGTGAAAGTAAATATTTAATAGCTCTTTAAAAAAAAAGAAAATTGGAATGTGAGGTAAAAAGGAAGGAGCAGGGGAAAGGTGACATTTCACTAAATTAAAACAACAAGGCTCAAAGTACCTTTCTAGATAAAGCACGTCATGAAGCACAATTCAAACTTTATAAATAGCTTCTAAAAACCACACAAACCATACTTTCAAGCAACTGGAGAAGCACCGGATTGCTGCCTCTAGTGTTAAAATATATTTTGATATTGGTAAGCAGAAACTTCTAAGTGGGAAAATGACCAAAGAATACATGAAGCAACTGAGACTGCATAGAGTAAAAACTGCCAAAAGAACACGAATACAAGTTCTACCTCAGTGATAAAGGCTGCTGCTTATTTCCCACTAATAAATACTACCAATAGTAGTATTAAATTGTGAGTGTAATAAAGATCTTTAGTCTATTGTTGGTGGGAATTTACGATAGATATCCTTTGAAGGAATGTGCTTGTGTGTGTTTGTGCATGTGCTCTTGGAGACCAGAAAAGGGCATCAGATCCCCTGGAGTTGCAGTTACAAGTGGTTGTGAGACACCCAGTGCGGGTGCTGGGAACTGAACCCTGGTCCTTTGGATGAGCGGCAATTGTTCCTAACCTCTGAGCTGTCTCTCCAGCTGTAATGTATGAGAGTAATGAGGGGGGATTAGCACCTCCCAATGAGGTCCTCGGAGACATTCACTCCGTTTATTCTCATGTTCTATAGGAATGCCAGTGAAGGTCTGTGTGTGTGAGCTAGTCACGGTGCCATTGATGATTTCTGAAACACCCAGTTTTCAAGGAAAGGAGTGATTAAATAAATTTTACACCTCTTTAAGGCAGCTATCCAAAGTCTTCTAAAATATATTTTAATTTATTAACATTAATACCTTCTATTTAAAATGTTCAGGGGGAACAGAGAGTTCACAAAAACTATGTCACCTAGCTCAAGTGAAAGGACCTTCCCAACATATGAGTCCAAACATGTGGAAAACACATGTCCTGTGTGAGGTCATTCAGTGGGGCTTTGTTTTACTCCTAGAATGCGGGCTTGGCTGACAAGGAGCAGTCGCGGTACACATCGATTAACAAACTGGAGTACGAGAACCAAAGGCTCCGAAGTGATCTTGCAAAGCTCCATGTCAACGGGAAGGCGGCATGGCCTAACCAGAGTGGCTATGATGAAGCAGGAACATGCGCTTACCAGAGCCAGCTGAAGATGGAGACAAGCGGAGACAGGTATGCTGACTCAGCAATCTAGAACGGCCACTTAGAGATGCCTTGGGGGGAAATTCATAAGTGATGTAAAATGACGGCTTCTTTGCACGTTTGCATTTTATCTGGTAGTGGTAACAGGAGTCTGGGCACACTATTTCATAAGAAGAACTCACACTGGCAATAGCTGTCCAAATACAATGGTGGGAGGGGTCCCCGGTAGTTTTGTTTTCTAGTCACTTCAGAATGCTCTTGCAAGGAGACATGCTGTACAAATAAACAAGTCATCTTTTCAATGTTGTGAGAACAGGGAAAACTAGAGTTCAGCCTGTTAAGCACAATGGTAAAGCCAAACATGTGAAAGTGTCACTTCTGTCTGTCCTCCCGTGATGCAGATACCTGGTGTTGTCCCTCTCGCCACGGTGACCAACTGCTGGTCACATCCTCACAAGGGTCCCACGGACACTGAGAGAGTAGTGAGAGTAGAGTGCACGAAAGATCAATACCATTTTATCCTCATGATCTCTAAAATGTCTTAGTTCACATCCCAAGTCAATGTTCACCATGAGACATGCTAATTAAGTCAATTTTAATAACGATCTATGCAGTCAGAAGTGTCTCAGGGGGCAGATGACTGTCTCCCCAGCCTTACAAATGCTCAGCAAAGCGATTCCTTTTCCCTGGGACTCCTCAGAGCCACGAAGACGTTACTTTGCAATGTGGGTTTCTGAGAAGGGCTATGGCATGCTGCCTTCACCAAACGTCTCTGACATAAGCCTTTCGTGGTGATTAAGAAAGTCCAGACCACACTGGGACTCAGCCCGTCCTCAGAAGCTTGAGATACTCTCAATGTGAATGCCTAACAATGTTTCCTGGTTTCTCGTGTACAGGGTGTTAGCGGGATTGTGCGAAGGAACCTGTAATATGTGTAGTTTCATTAATGTTGTATTTTGAATATTAATTACTTTTATAATATTCATGGTGACTAACGTGTATTTTGGTGACTAGTCTAATAGCTGGACCTGAGGCTTGGAGAAGGTGATGCTCATCTTGGTAGCTAAGCAAAGTCTATGGAGCAAACCAAAGGGGGGAAAGGTCTGTTCAATGCTCCCATAGGGACCCAGTTTTATCAACCTAATTTTTGTCTTGTGGCTTCAGTCCCTTTACTCTGCACTGTCCATGCTGCCTCCTCTCCTTCCTTCTGACTGGCGACTCCACCCTTCCTCTTCCCAGCATTCTCTCTGCCTAGCTACGGGCCATTTAGCTTTTTGTTTATTTGTTTGTTTTTTGTTTTTCGAGACAGGGTTTCTCTGTATTGTCTTGGAGGCTGTCCTGGAACTCGCTCTGTAGACCAGGCTGTCCTCAAACTCAACAGAGATCCGCCTGCCTCTGCCTCCAGAGTGCTGGGATTAAAGGCGTGCGCCACCAACGCCCGGCTCCATTTAGTGACATTTCTTCCCAGTGTGGAAAAAGATTATTCCACAACAGGCGCACTGTAGTGGCACTGCAGTTGGGTATTACGGCGAGGGTACTGCGGTGCAGGCGCCATGGTCGGGACACTGTGGCGCCGGTGACATAGCTGGGGGTGCTGCGGCGGGAGTAATGTGGCATGGCGTGGGTGTTGCAGGGTGGGTACTGTGGTGCCGTGAGGGCAGCGTCCTAGTGGAGGCGCCGTGGAAGACGGGACGCCGTGGCGTGGTACCACGATGGGGGTTTCAGTGTGAGCATTGTGGGAAAAGCCAAAAGCCGGTCCTCTGATGGCTGGCTGAACAAGTGTTGATCACCCGGCAGAGTTCAAAGCCTGTTCTAAGAGGTCGTGCTCTAATCCAGAATCAGAACCTCACGAAGCACATCACTACTTTGGGTCTCCTAGAGCAAAGCCCAGCGCTAACGATGCTGGGAAGTGTTGTCCCACTGCTGGCTGATGTCCTGGGCTCCCCAGCTCCTGTCCTCCCTCATGAGAGCTGCTCTGGTAGCTTCAGGTGAGGTGCTGCGCCGCCGCTGCTCTACAGTTTGTTATTTTTAAAAAATGTTTTTCTTGGCCCTTAATCTTCGTTTGTCAGGCTGTGCAGCGTGCATTAACAGTGCGCAACAAAAACAAGACAGTGGGAGACAGAGGCAGGAAGGAGTAAAAGGCTCTGCGGGAGATTATCTTAATAAGCTCCTGCTGCAGAGCCGTGCCCCGCCAGCTCCATTTGCTGAAAGTTTCATTAAATTTGTTTTAATGCCTCGTCTGATTTCAGTGTTCTTCGGTGACCTGGTTTTGAAAAGAAACAGCATTTCAAATGGTCTGAATAAATTATTGCTATGTAAAACCCACTATGGGGAAGAGTTGTTGAGACGCAGGGACACTGAATGCTCAGCAGTGGAGAACTGGAAAGCAGGTAGCTCCCTGCTAATGTCCTTCCCTCACTGCCCAGCTCGGGGAGCCAAGTAGCAAAAGCCATGTATACACACATGTGTGCATGTACATGGGTGCTCATGTATGTATGCACACATGTGTGTATGTATGTGTAAATGTGTGTGTAGTGTATGTGTGTATACATATGTGTGTATATGAATGTGTGTGGTTTTGTGTATGCATGGTGTCTATGTATCTGTGTATATGTGTGCATGTGTGTAGGTATTTGTATATGTGTGAATGCATCTGTGTGCATGCATATATATGTATGTGTATGTATGTATATGTGCATCTGTTTGTGTATATACCTTTACGTGTGCATGTCTATGTATGCATATGTGTGTATATGCATATGTGTGTATGCATATATATGTTTATGTGTATGTGTATATGTGTGGGGGTCTGTGCATGTAGGTTTTATCCATATATTTGTCAGATGTAAGTTAGCTAGAAAAATACCTGACTTATCTTTACATATCAATGGGTTAAACTATTTGGAGAAGGAAAAATAACATTGCTCCATAAAACCGAAGGTCACAGTCTAAGGAAATTCTCCCTTGAAACAGAGGAAGATCAGAGCGATCTGTTATTTAAACGATCTGCTATTCACTCCCAACTTCTGACTTTCACTCTATTTGAAGCGATACCTTAATGGGGTCTCACTGGAAATCCGAAGCATCTTCAGGTGACCCAAAGCATTTAGTTCCTAGAATAATAACCTATTCATCGTTTGAAAATTTTTATGAGATTTAATGGAATTTGGTTAAGATGCTCTGACTTGTTCTTTAAAAAAATAGTGTTTTGAAGTTGCAGGAGAATTTACAGGCTGATTTAGAGTGTTGGGGTCCAGAACTATTAGTGTAGCTAATTTTAATGGCAAGCCAATTTTGTAATAAATGGAGCTTGTCTCTATATGAGAATCCACGCTTAAAAGTGAAGTCGCGGGGCTGCAGAGATGGCTCAGTGGTAAGAGCACTTACTGCTCCTCCAGAGTTCCTGGGTTCAGTTCCCAGCACCCACATCAGATGGCTCACAGGCGCCTGTCACTCCAGTTTCAGGGGAGTTGACTCCCTCTGACTCCCGCCAGCACCTGCATCCCAGTGGGGCCCATTAGCCCTCACAGGCAGGTGCCCACGCATACACATGGAAACAAACAGGCCTCTTAAAAAGTGAATTCGTGATTCAGATTCTTATAGCATGAACCACGAAGACACTAGTAATGGGTACTAACCAATAAGGAGCCGAACACAGCACACTAAAGGCTTCAAGCCTGGAGACGGTGCAGGCCGCAGACGGTGAAGCTTCTGTGAGTGTGAGGAGTGAGGCTGTGGAGGCTAGCGGTAGATGGCGGCTTCTTGCCCCTGCCTAGGACATCATCCCACAGCCCAGGAGGGCCTGGAGAGGCGGCATGGGCCACATGTGAGAGGCCTGCATGCTCTAGACAGGACCTCATGCTCCATGAGGAGTCCAGCCTCCCATCCAGGCAAGATGAGCCGGCCATACTTAGCGGCCCTGAAGCAGGGCCTATGGGAAAGCAGTGAGACTTGTGAGTGGATATCAAAAGCTTTCTGCAATAATTTTTAAGCCCTCTTTAAACAGATAGGTGCAGCATTTTGTGCAGGGTAGTTTTATGAAGTGTTTGAATAGCTATGTCCTAGAAGGGCTTTCAGCTATAAAGATGATTTAAGCCAAAGCACTTTACTTCATAATATAGTTTTTTCCTTCAATCTCAATATTTTATTGATCTTATAATTTTAAAAAAGTTCCTATATAAATCTTAGTAATTAGGGCTGTAAACCATCTCCATACATTCACAGCAAAATGGATAATTGTGATAATTAGTAGATAATTTAGAACAAATAATACTTTATATAAAATCTCTGCACAACTGAGATTGCACACACACACAAATACTTTATATAAAATCTCTGCACAATTTGAGATTACACATACACACACACACACACACACACACACACACACACAAAATCTCACATTTCTCAGATTACATCTATAATTGTCTTGTTTTTTCCACCCCGAAATGTAGACACTAGGCTCAGGCCAGAGATGATATGCAGGTACATTATACGATTGTTACTGCTCAGTTTGAACTGTGAAATGTTTCATCTATTGTTCATATCATAGGCCGTGTTATTTCCATTTAATTTGCTCTTCTGTTTCCATGGTAATTATGGTGTGGGATAATGGGGGGAAAGGTTTATCTCAAGCTAGTAAAACTGGGATACATGTGTTTGTTTCTCTGTGCTGATCTGCAGGCACCTAGTGCCAAGCTTCATGGCATCTGTATGCACAGACTTAAAGAAATCTGCATAAGAAGCAAGTCTGCATGGATCAGACTTTGGATGAGAACAGAAAAATACAGTGTGGGTTTTTAAATTGTATCAAAACATTACTTTGAAAATGGTTAACACCTGTGGGAAATCTGGGTTATTAATAAGGATAAATAGCTTTCAATTAAAGGGATTTTTATGTTTTCATGGTCTTTGGTGATTTGATTAAATACAAGCCCTACTTTCGTGAAAGACATTTATTTAGTTAAACAGGCCAGGTGGGATGGTCTTCGGTTCAATTTTAAGGCTTGTTGTTTTGTTCCTTATTTGCTTATCTGTTCAGTGTTTTCTTACTTACATCTTCCAATATTTTAGCACAAACAGTAAATTCCATAGTGTGCTTTTCATCCTCATTGTGGGGTTCGACCTCAGGAAAATTTGGACTTCAGTTCAAAGTTACCAGTTCCTAGCAATTCTCATTTTTTAAAGTAAACAACTGTTGTCAGGTTGGACCAGTTGGTACTAGATAACCAACTGGTTTTTTTCCATCCACTTTGGCGTGTCCATTGGTGTCATCCTTGCGAAGTTCACAGGTGGACAGTCACGAGGGTGAGACTTTATGGGTGTAATTTCTGACATTCCTCGGAGGGACCGTCTCACAGCAAACACAATCCTCTGGCTCTTACAGTCTTTCTGCTCTGTGTTCTGCAGTGTTCTCTGAACCTTAAGTTCAGGAACTGTATTTAATGTAGATGTAGCCACCGGGGCTGGCTGGACTCCACAACTGGACATTTTGACTAGTTATGGTTTTCTATAATGGCGTCTCTCTGTTGTAAAGAGAAGTTTCCTTTCTCAGGGGTAAGGACTGTATGCTTACCTGTGTGTATAAGGACACATGTTTCAAATGTAGTTGAAACTGTGCTCGTTTAGCAGAATTGTGGGTTCTTCTCCAAGATCCATGACTTCACTAACCTTGGGTAGCTGGTTAGGTTTCTAGTTCCAGGCATGATTATCCTCTTGTTGAGTGCATTTTAAGTCCAGTTAGAGAGCTGTCAGTGACTGCCAAGGCTCTACTGTACCTGTAGGGTTCTAGTGCCATCCTGCTTGTTGACGGGGTTCATAGTGTCATAGCCATGTGGGACTACTGATTGCGTCCCTCCTTTGGAATCTAAAGTAACATTAGACAGGCCGAGATGGTTGTATTTAGGAATACATACATTTGCATAAGGAGGAGGGGCATATAGGAGGGTTTGGGGGGAGAAAGGGGAAGGAGGAAATGATGTAGTCATACTGTAATCTCAAAAATAAAAGAAACAATTTTCATGCAGTTAAAACCAATGGTTGAAGATGGACTGGTGACTCAGGGGCATATGTAATCCCACACTTAGTGAGGATGGGGTGCCAGGGGGAGGCAGGGGCACTGAGGCAAGAGGACTCAAGTTCAAGGAGAGCCTGGGGAGACCCTGTCTCAAAACAAAAACAAAACAAACAACAACAACAAAACCATAAACAGAGACAGGGTGTAGCTCAGTGGTAGGGCAGTTGCCTAGCATTCTTTGCAAGAATCTGGGCTCCATTCCCTAGTGCCAGAAAGAAAACGGGAAAGGAAATGAGCAGGTAAATAACTTTACATTTTAGCTTCTTCATTTGTAGTCACATCCACCTTGGTGGGCTTTTTTGAAGACCAAATGGGCATCAAGATGATCCCCGATGTTTACTGAGTGTCCAGAATGCAGCGTGCATCATGTTCTACAAGTTTTACATGCATTGGCCTCCACCTGTCTTAAGAACCCTTTCTCGTGAGAGAGAGAAAGTCGGAGAGAACAAACACATTAAGTGAGCCAGGTGCCTGGGAGGGCACCAGTGGGAAGCAGGCTGCAAGTTAGCGACTCGGAAGGAACTGGTTACTACAGCTGCGTGGTACCACACCCCCAAACCACGATTCATTGTGAGAGCTGTGAAGTACAGCAGAGGACTTCAGCATCTCTCTTAGAACTCCACGGGGCAGTGGTGTTCACTGTTTTGAGATTTCTGTCATCTTGACTTCAGTTCTTCTAATGGCCTAGAAATACAAAAGAATTAGGAGGAATTAGAATTAGGAAGGCTGAGGCCGTCCTGGCAATCACTGTGTTTCATGCTTCATATAACTCTACATTCCAAGTTTTTTAAAAACACTTTTTTATTATATGTTTAAATTAGAAACAAGCTTGCTTCCCATGTCAGTCCCAGCTCCCTCTCCCTCCCCTCCATGCCCACTCCCTCCCCCCACTCCCCCAGCCCCCCACCCAATCCCCACTCTATTCCCCAGGGAGGGTGAGGCCCTCCATGGGGGATCTCTAGAGTCATTTCATTCTGGGGAGGGCCCGTGGCCTCCCCAAAGTGTCCAAATTGAGAGAGCATCCCTCATTGTGGGATGGACGCCCAAAGTCCATTAGTGTGCCAGGGATAAATATTGATTTACTGCCCAAAAGCCCAATAGATTGCCTGAGTCTCCTCACTGACACCCACATTCAGGGGGTCTGGATCAGTCCCATGCTGGCCTCTCAGCCATCACTCTGGGTTCCAAGATCTCCCCCTTGTTCATGTCCACTGTTTCTCTGGGATTCACCAGCCCAGTCTTGACCCCTTTGCTCATCAATCCTCCCTCTCTGTCACTGGGTTCCAGGAGTTCAGTTCAGTGTTTAGCTGTGGGTGTCTGCCTTTGCTTCCATCTGTCACTGGATGGAGGGTCTAGGATGGTATGTAAGATAGCCATCAAAATCATTATCAGGGAGGGGCATTCAAAGTAGTCTCTCCACTGCTGCTTAGTTTGCCAGTTGGTGTCATCCTTGTACATATCTGGAGTTCTCATTAGTGCCAGATCTCCCCTCAAACCTAGAATGACTCCCTCTATTATGGTGTTTCTCATTCTGCTCTCCTCTATTCTTCCCCCAACTCAACCTTCCTGCTCCCCTATGCCCTCCTCTCCCTTCTTCTTGTCTCCCTCTTTTTTTCCTGGCTCCCTTTCCCCATCCCCACCCTGTGCTCCCAATCTGCTCAGGAGATCTTGCCTCATTCCACCTTCTCTGGGGTACAATATATATCTCTCTTAGGGTCCTTCCTGTTTCCTTGCCTCTCTTGCAGTGGGATTGCAGACTGGAACTCCCATAATCCATGTCTAAAATCCATATATGAGTGAGTACATACCATGTTTGTCTTTTTTGTACATTCCAAGTTTTTAAAGTGAAGTTGGGATTATTCAGAAAAACCATTTGTTTTTCAAAGAAACACCCAGACAAACTCATCCATTCAGTTGGTTCTCCCTAACTAAACATCCAGGAAGTGAAAACCTTCAGCTACACAAACATGTCCTTTGGTGGATAGTTGGAATGAGAGAGGCCTCGCATACCGGAATATTTGGTCCCCAGTTGGTGGAACAGTGTGGGAAGAATTTGGAGGTGCAGTCTTTCTGGAGGAGGTGTGTCACTGGGGTGGAGAGAGCTTTGAGGTGTTTCGAAAGACTCGTGCTGTTACCAGTCAGCTCTTTACTTTGCGGCTGTGGATAAAGACGTGAGCTCTCGGCTGCTCTTTCACTTGGCCGTCGTGGACTCTGACCCTTTGAAACCATAAGTCAAAGTATGCACTCCCTTTTATAAGTTGCTTTGGTCGTGGTGTTTAAACGCAACAGTAAGGATACTTAAGAATGACACTGACATTGATTTCTTCTCGTCTTTTAGAGTTGGCCAAGACTGTGAGCTGAACAGAACCCTGGCACCACCATCACCACCTTTGCCATTTCATGCCAAAGAAATGACAAGTCCCCTGACTAGTGACGAGGACGTTTTCCCTCTGGTGAGTTTCTAGAAGCTGATTTTTCCTTTAAGGTAGACTGTTCAATACTGAGACCAATATAGGGAAGGGTAGAATAGCTTCTCTTTCTTTTGTTTGTCTTATTATCGTTGTTTTGAGACAGGGTTTCTCTGTATAGCCCTGGCTGGCCGGGAACTGACTAGGTAGACCAGGCTGGCCACAGAGATCCACCTGCCTCTTCCTCCAGAATGCTGGGATTAAAGTTATGTGATACCATCTCTGAAATAAGACTGTAGGCTGCTCTACAGGCCATTTGACCACACCTATCTCTAGAAGAAAACGAAAACCTAAGACCCCACCAAGAATCCTGGTGATGCCTTTTAGTTTTTTTGTTTGTCTTCATTTTTTAGAGACAGGGTCTCACTCAGACTCAGGCTGACATAGAATTCGCCATGCAGCCCAGGCTGGCTTTGATCTTGCAACAGTCCTCCTGCCTCAGGTTCTCAGGTGCTGGGTTTACAGGCATGTACCACCAGACCCAGATAGGTGTTAACATATAGTAACATGTATAAACTGTGCATGGCCATGTGCTGAATCATTCCAGAGAGCATCAAGGTAAGCGCTAAAGCCCTGAGACAAAAAGGGTCAGCCCAGGAATGCACACCACTTCCAGGGAGGAGAAAACTCTGCCCTCTCCAATGTGAGAGGCACCCAGGGAGGTTTAGCTGCAACCAAGAGGCTTCTTGGTGTCAGTGAGGTGTGGCACATCTCCTGGGCTCTGCTGGCCCACAGAAGTAAGCTAAGTAGCTCTCAATGAGAAGGCCACTCTGCTATTGGGCCCATACATAATATCTTCTGGAGTTGCCAGAAGAACAGAAAATGGAACAGGTAATATCGTCCATCTGCTAGATGCTCTGTGACATCCAGGGCTCACAGCATGGAGTAGTCTACAGACTATTCAGGCTTCTTCTGCAGGAGACACAGCCTTACTCTGGTCTTAAACACCTGCTACATGACTTTTCCCCTGAGGCTTATGAAATGCACAAGGCATTCTCTCTGCTGGAGATTTTCCTAGAATAAGATTTACCGCTCATCTAACCCCAGTGGCGGGACTTCTGACCTATCCTGAACCCACGATGGAACTCTCCTTTGTTCTAGGCCTGTCAGGCTTCTGTGATGCCCATTAAGGCATCAAGGTGGTTCTAGCCAAGAGCACGGAACTTCAGTGCACATTAACCTGTGCTCTGCATGGATACCCTTGCCTGCCCCACACAGCCTAAGAGGATGCCAAGCCCCCGAGTCTTGTGTGGGGCTTTGGTTCACGCTCTGAAGTATGTGTGTCGTTTCCAGTCTTGGGTTCCTCAGCTTCACTGACTTCTTGCTTGTGTTAGTAGGCAGGCATGGTGTTTTGAGTGTCCAGATGGACAGCGTTCATTGGAATTCACTGCAACGCATCATTAGCACAGGCTGGGACAAGGAGGTGTCAACAGTGTCCATCCCATGTACAAGACAACTGCTCTGACCCTCTTTGCCCTGGATATTTAGAAAGAGAGTCTTTGACCCATCAGCAGCAGACACTGCATGCTCACAGCTGTTTCTTTAGACTCACGGAGAGGCTGTACCCAGTACAGAAGGTGCAGCTGGGATTTCACACCTGATCATGTCTGCAGGGCTCTGCTGTCACCTGCTGTGATCCTGAGTTTTCATAGACTGATGAACTAAGCTTATGACCAGGCTCACTTCCATACAGCTGCATTCTTCTTGACAAATAAAAAATAAAGAAGAATGAAGGCAGCCAGGTGCATCGGTGCACACCGGGAATCCCAGCACTGTGGAGGCTGAGACCCGAGTCATCCTCAACTACAGTGACTTCCCGACAAGCCTGGGCTGCCTGAAGCACTGTCTCGGAGAGCAATGAAGAGGAAGAAGGGTAGATAAGGGAACTGGAAAAGTGGTGTAATTTTAAATAATTTTATAATGTTTAAATAAAACTAAGGTCCTTTATTCCCTAATTTTTGTGTGTAAATATACACTAAACACATCACAAGCTGTGAAGTACACCACATCTCCCAGCCACCTACACCAGGCATCACTCGCATTTCCTCTTTTACTAAGCTTGCCTAGTGAGGGAAGACTGCAGTACCATCACGCACACACACACACACACACTCATTCACACTCACACACATATACTCACACACTCTCACACACATACACTCACACACATTCACATACATACACACTCACACACTCACACACTCTATCACATACACACTCACATGCATATACTCACACACACTCACTCACACACATATACTCACACACTCTCTCTCACACATGCTCATACATACGCTCACACACATACACTCACACACATATACACATTCACACACATACATACACACTCATTCACACTCACACACTCATTCACACTCACACACATATACTCACACACTCTCACTCAAACACACATACTCACATACACTCTCACACTCATACACACTCACATACACACTGTCTCACACACATACACTCACACACATTCACACACATACACATACTCTCTCACACTCACACACGCTTACACACTCTCACACACTCACATACACACTGACATACTCACACTCTCTCACACACTCACATACTCACATACACTCTCACACTCATACACACACATACACACTGTCTCACACACATACACTCACACACATTCACACACATACACATACTCTCTCACACTCACACACGCTTACACACTCTCTCACACACTCACATACATATACTCACACACTCACATACACTCACTCACACACATTCACACACATACACACACTCTCACACACTCACACACATTCTCTCTCTCTTTCACACACACACACACACATACACACACAGGGCCACCTCCAGCAGGATGTCCATCTTTACCCAATCTGCTCCATCTTTACTCCAGATCTGAGACTTGCCTATGTTTTGGATTTCTTGTCTTACAAGTGACCACATGTGTCCTGCTTGGGTTACTGGTACCTACATCCACCCTGGATTTGCAGCTGGCCACTGCAGTTTTCACCTCTAGAGCTCTTTAATGGTGTGGTGGGTTTCTTGAGCAGAGGCTACATTGCAAAGGGAGGACTCTGCCCACAATTCAGCACTTTGTCAAAGCCGCAGGGTTGACTGTCAGGGAGGTGCATGCCTGAGACTAAAGGCTCTGACCTGATCTCTCTTTTCTCCCTTCTCTTCAGTCTCCACCAGATATGTCCCTCCCGGCCTCCCTGGCTGCGCAGCACTTCCTCATGGAAGAGGAGAGGCGGGCCAAGGAGCTGGAGAGGCTGCTCAACACGCACATCGACGAGTTGCAGAGACACACCGAGTTCACACTCAACAAATACACCAAGTTCAAGCAGAGCAGACACGTATGAGCTTTGCACCTTTTCTGTTTGCTTTCTCTCCAGGCAGCCTCATGAAACTGAGAACTCACTTGGTAAGGCAGCTAGGAAGCAGCCTGTGTTCACAAGGCTGTTTGTTTCTGCATTTCACGTTCTAATTGTCCTGTTAGCATAGAATAAGCATGGATAGCCCCAAAGCCTTTCTCTCCTGTCTAAGGAATAGTTTGGGATTAAAATGAATTGGTTCTGATTTTAATCATGTATGCTAAAGTCCCATTTCCTGTGTAACAGGCAGTGAGAAAGGGAAGCATTCATCTCTAAACATAAGGAAACTAAGCGTTGCCCGTCGGTGCTGGGCACAAAAACTCAAGGACTTCTAAAAGTAAAAGATGTTTAGACAGATACATCGAACTACACAAACACCCTAAGATTTGTTTAGAAGCGAAAGGATATGCCTTTGCTGTTTTACATCCACTTACGTAGCGTCTCTGCCTTAACGTCAAGGATTTCTGAATGTGCACGGTGCACAGTAAAATTTGCCGTGCCAGACAGCCATGCTGGTGCAAAGACACAGCGCACAGGGCCTCACGCTGCCTCCATCTCCTGTGTAATCACCCCTGTTTGTAAGACAATAAAGACATGCAAAATTCAGTTGCTTGACAGGTGTCCAGTTTCTACAGAGGCAACAGCAAGAAAATGAACGATGAAATTCACATAACAAAATGACACTCTGATATCTTGTTCTTTAAAAATGGAATACACACACATGTACTACATCAGAGTGTGTAGATACTATGAAGAACTCAAGGTAGGAGCACAGCTTTTGTGGTTTTCTTTTTAAAGAAATAGTGTCAACATACTGAAAGAGAAACCCTATGTCCTTGGATAACGAGAGTCGTTTTTCACGTGAACTATACAAAACGGCATCTACTTTGGGTGGCATTGCCGTCTGTGTTTCTGTAGCTCCTGATATTTCAAAAGCTTTCCATGGTAGTTAAACTACTATAAAAGTCCCACAGGCTGTGGTGGCTTTAACAGGATTTCTCACTGTTTGGGAGGCTTAGAAGTCCAAGATCCAGGCACCGACTGATTAGGGGCTGGTGACAGCCCAGTTCCTGGCTTGGAAACAGTCACTTTATTGTTGCCTTCTCATGTGTCATGAGAACAACGATTTCTCTCATAAGGAGGATAATCCATTACCTCCATGAGACGCCACCCTCATGGGCTGACGCCTTCCTGAAGACTCCTGGTGCATCTCATTGAAGGCTGGGAATTCAACATACACATCGGAGAGAAATACATTTATTCTATATAAAATATCCTCTCATGGACCTGGAAGCCAGATCAGTAGGTAACGTGCTTGCCTTATACACACAGGATCTGAGTTTGGCCCCTAAAGCCCATGGAAAGAAGCTAGCTGTGGTGGCTGCACTTGTAATCCAGTGCTAGAGAGGCGGAGACAGGCAGATCCCCCAGTTTACCGGTCAGCCAGCTGAGTCTAAACGGGGACCTCCATGCCAATGAGAAACCGAACCAAAAAACATGGTAGAAGATTCCAGAGGAATGACATCCGTGGATGACCTCTGTAGTGAGATACCCCCCCCAACACACACACACACCTGTAGCGGGCTTGGGGGCGTGGTCAGCGCTACAGGTGCTGGAGGTAGATATCTCATACAGACCTCTAGACACCACACATATGCAGGGGGGGACGGGGGCAGGAGGCAGCACAAGTACACACACACACACACACACACACACCACAGCACCATTTAAACTTAAGAATTTGATGTCAACAAAATGAGTATCTGAAGGGTTAGCAAGGTGCCTCAGCGAGAAAGAGAACTTGTTGCTCAGTCATGAGGACGTGAGTCCTCTAAGTGCCCGTATAAAAAGACAGGGCATGACCATACATATCTGTAAGCTTCATGCTGTGTGGGACAGAGACAGGAGGATCATTGGGGCTTGCTGGCTGAGAGCCCAGCTCCCTGTCCCAAGGGAATGAGGTGGAGAGTGACCGAGCAGACACCTGATATCACGCTCTGGCCTCTGCACACGTACACACATATCCACGCACACACACTTGCAAAACAAAAACCATAAGTACCCTGTATTAGACAGGATGTACAGAGGAAAAAGTCTGGATTCCAGACTCCTGGCTCTCATCACAATATCACTTCCTGTAAGCAGGCAGATGGGGAACAAAGACATATGCAAAACATCACAGAGCCCTAACTGGGCCCACAAAAACCCCTGTGGGGAAAACCATAGGGTTTGTAGTACTTTCCTGTTAGTTTCTATGGGCACAATGAAAACAGAGCCTTGGTCTAACGTGCTGTAAGCCCTGGGGCTGATCCTGCACTGCACAACAAAAATCAAAAGGGCCAAAACGGGAAGCAAATATAGAAAAAAGGCTTATCAGTGTTATCCTTAGAAGATGGGGGATTGTTTGTGTAGAAATGGGGCCCATGACCAAACTACCATGAGCCCATCTGATCCTGTGTACATCCCTAAAACAAACACATGCTTAGAAAGTTTAAACACACCTTCACCACATCCTAAGTCCTGGACCACTCGAGTCTCCTCGGGGCAACCTCACGGATGAGCCTTGTCCACTAAAATCAAGATCTAGGAGACAGTATTCTTCGACCTCAGCAGTGAGGAGAGCGGAAGGGTGAGTCCTAAGGCCCAGCTGCCTCTGTGCACGGTGCCTCAGCTCGTGAGCAGACTTGTATTAAATCACCACTTGAGCGCTCCACTTAGTATCAGCTTTATTTAAACCATGTTTTTCATGGCTCGTTCGTTTGTTTTCTTAACACGAGAGTAAACTTAACTTTGTTTCACATGAGGTAACTAACGGTCTGCCAAGATGGGTCAGCAGTTGAAGCACTTGCTGCAGGAGCCTGACGACCAGAGTCTAATTCCCAGGAGCACGCAAAGGCGGCAGGAGAGGTCACACTGCAGGAGGGTATCCTCCAACCACCACAGGCAGGCTGTGGCGTGTGCAAGCCTGCACACACACCACAAATAATGGCTCATTTAAAACAACTAAGCTTCTTCTCACTTACCCATCAGTTAGTGTTTGTTTAAGTGTGATGACCTGTAGGATTAGTCTGTTTAGCCTACGGTGGCAAAATACCTTAGACCAGACGACGTGTAAGTAACCAGAGTTCACTGTGCACGGCTCCAGAGGCCGGTTACGTGGAGACGGAGGCAGAAGTCAAGGGATGCTAAAGACTGACAGCAAGCCATGGGCAACCAGGAAGGAGGCCTGAGCCCGTCTTCTTCCTCACAGCACTCTGTGGGAACCCTGATTTCAGATGTTCAGCCCTCAGGCCCCAAAGACAATGAATTCCAGCTGTTTGAAACCACAGGCTGCTGCAAACCAACATCCTCTCGTATCCCTGAACTACAGAGGGAAACCTGGCAATGTGTCACACTAAAAAGCCTTTGCACAATCCCCCTCTCGGTAGGCAAAGACAAGAAGACTAGTCCAGTCAGAGAACACAGACAGCCGAGTCTCTGACAGGCCACCCCCTGTAAAAGCTGAGGCTCTGATAGGCCATCCACCAGACAGCTGAGTCTCTCATAGGCCATCAACTGAGGAAACTGAGTCTCTGATAGGCCATCAACTGAGAAAACTGAGTCTCTCATAGGCCATCCACCTTGAGAGCTTCCTTCACAAGCAGGCCTAAGCAGTTCTAAGAGGGTAAATTAGTCACTAATCGCATAGATTAGCAAACAGGATAAGACTCAAATCTGCCGAATCTAGAAGCATAAAATCCAAACAAGGAAAGAAAGCCACAGAAGAATCAGGAGATAAACATGGAAAGCAATGACACGCAAAGCAGAGAAAGTAAAGAAAAATCTAAGCTGTCTCTGAAAGATAAATCAATAAAATTGACTAATCTATAGCAGGACTGACAAATTTAAAAAAGGAAGATGGGTGTAAATTACCAAAATGAGGCCAGGACAGATACAAACACAAATGGTTATCAGAAAACCAACTTAAAATGTACCAACTCCTTAAAACAAAATCATAAATCAGTATTCATCGGTCAAATAAAATGTTAAATCTAAAAAACCCCTAACACAAAATCATCCAGGAAATTTGGGATACTATGAATAGGAATAGAAGAAGAATCCCAGCTTAAAAAGAAAACCCAGAGAATATAACAAAATCATAGAAGAAAATTTTTCTTACCTAAGGGAACACTTTATAACCTACTTATAAAAGCACAGGAAGCTTACAGAACACCAAATAGATTAATCAAGCCAGAAGAAAAGTCCCCTGCCACATAAAAAATAAAAACACAGAACAAAGAAAGAATATTAAAAGCTACAAGGGAAAAAAGACAAAGTAACATATAAAAGCAGACCTATAAAAGTTAATACCTGACTTCTCAACAGAGACTCTAAAAGCCAGAAGGGCCTGGACAGATGTCTTGCAGACTCTAACAGACCATGGATGCCAACCCAGACTACTATACCCAGCAAAATTTCCAATCACTATATATGGAAAAACTAAGGTATCTCATGATAAAATCAAATTTAAGCTATATTTATCCACAAACCCATCCCTACAAAAGGTACTAGAAGGAAAACTCCAACCCAAAGAGGTTAATTATACCCACAAAAACACAGGCAATAAATAAACTCATACCAGAAAAACCCAGAGAGAGAAAACACACAGACACCACCACCACCACCACCAACAACAACAACAACAAAATAACAGGAATTAACAACCATTAATCATTAATATATTTTGATATCAATGGACTCAATTCCCCAATAAAAAGACACAGAATAACAGAATGGTTATAAAAACAGGATCTATCCTGTTGCATACAAGAAATACACCTCAACACCAAAAATAGACATTACCTCAGAGTAAAGGGTTGAGAAAAGATCTTAGAAGATCTAACTATAGCTAAAATACAAAAAGAATGCCAGTATACTCATTCTAATACATAGCAAAATAGACTTCAAACAAAAGTTAATCAAAAGAGATGGAGAAGGACATTTCATACTCATCAAAGGAAAAATCTACCAAGAGGAGACTGCAATTTTTAGTATGTGTGCCCCAAATGCAAGAGCACCTACATTTGTATAAGAAACATTACTAAAGCTTACATCACACATTGAACTTCACACATTAACTGTGGGAGACTTCAATATTCCACTATCCCCAATGGACAGGTTATCCAGACAAAACTAAACAGAAATGATGGAGCCTGCAGACATTATAAACCAAATGGACCTAACAAATATCTACAGAACATTTCACCCAGACACAAAAGAATGTACTTTCTTCTCGGCACCTCATGGAACATTCTTCAAAATTTACTATATACGTAAAGCTAGTTTCAAATTATACAAGAAAATTGAAATAACACCCTGCATCCTATCAGACCACCATGGATTAAAGCTGGATTTCAACAACAACAGAAACAGCAGAGGGCCTACAAACTCATGGAAACTGAACAAGTGTCTCCTGAATTACCACTGGTTTGAGGAAGAAATAAGAAAGAAATTAAAAACTTCCTAGAATTCAATGAAAATGAATTCACAACATACCCAAACTTATAGGACACAATGAAAGCAGTATTACAAGGAAAGTTCACTGTACTAGTGCCTTCATAAAGAAA